CCATTTTCAAGGGCTCAAATGTAATTAAAAAATGAATATAATCATAAATAAAATGTTAATTTTTAATATTGTGTTGGGAATCCTTTACTGGCAATGACTGCCTAAAATCTGGAATCCATGGACATTACCAAAGACTGGGTTTCCTCCTTTCTGAAGCTTTACAAGACTCTAACTGCAGCTGTCTTCAGTTGTTCTTTGTTTGTGGTTCTTTCCGCCTTTAGTTTTGCCTTCAGCAAGTGAAATACATGCTCAATTGGGTTAAGATCAGGTGATTGACTTGGCTATTGCAGAATAGTCCACTTCTTTTCCTTCAAAAGCTCCTGGGTTGCTTTTGCAGTGTGTTTTGGATCATTGTCCATCTCTACTGTGAAGCGCTGTCCAATCAACTTTGCTGCATTTGGCTGAATCTGGGCTGACAGTATATCTGTAAACACTGCAGAATTCAACTGCTTCTGTCTTCTGTCACATCATCAATAAACACCAATGACCCAGTTCCTCTGGAAGCCATGCATGTCCATGCCATCACACTGCCTTCACCATGTTTTACAGGTGACGTTGTGTGCTTTGGATCATGAGCTGTTCCAAGCCTTCTCCACACTTTTTTTTCTTCCCGTGATTCTGGTACAGATTAATCTTAGTTTCATCACTCCAAAGAATGCTTTTCCAGAACTGGTCTGGCTTTTTTAGATTTTTTTTTTTTTGCAAAGTCTAATCTGTCTTTTCTATTATTCAGGCTTATGAATGGTTTGCACCTTGTGGTGAACCCTCTGTATTTTCTCTCGTGAAGTTTTCTCTTGATTGTAGACTTTTACAATGATACACCCACCTCTAAGAGAGTGTCTTTCACTTGTCTGGATGTTGTGAATGGGTTTTTATTTACCATAGAGAGGATCCTGCAATCATCCACTACTGGATGTCCATGCCTTTTTATGTTGCTGAGCTCACCAGTGCATTCTTCTTTCCTCAGTGTGTACCAAACTGTTGATTTGGCCACTCCTAATGTTGCTGCTATCTCTCTGATGGATTTGTATAGTTTTTGAAGCCTTACAAAGGCCTGTTTCACTTACAAGGACAGCTCCTTTGAACGTATGATGTAGTTCGCAGCAATAGATTCCAAATGCAAATACCACACTTAGGCTGGCCATATATTATACAATTATCTGGAGATTTTTGGTTTAGATTTACCAAAAACCATATAATAGGAGGACAAACCTAAGCAACACTTTCAGTTGTATCCAATTAGGCAGGCCCTTGCACTACACAGTTGAAGGTAAATCTAAAGGAAATTGGGCAGAAAATTGGAAGATAATTGTATAATGTATGGCCAGCCTTAGAATCAACTCCAGACCTTTTACCTGCCTAATTAATGAAGAAATAACGAAGGAGTAGCCCACACCTGGTCATGAAGCAGCTTTTGATTCAATTATCCAATTACTTTTGGTCCCTTGAAAAAGGGGGGATGGCTACTCTTTAAGCCCATATAACTATAGCTTAAATATGTTTTGGTAAATACTTGAAGAAAAAATTTTAAATGGTGCCTGTGTCCAAATATATATATATGGACCTAACTGTATGTTCCTGTTAGATTATGGACCAACAACAGTCAAGTACTATTTTCATTATATAGAAAATACAACATCTCTTTTGTAATTGGAGTGTATATTTTTACATTCTATAATATGCTGTACTATGTTTTTATACATTGCACATTTCTTTCAATAAAAATATTGAACAAGAATTAGACTTAATTCCCTTCAAACATGTAAAGGTGCACAGTGTGATAGTAGCATTGTGAATTTTAAATTGTATCACGTGACTCTTTTAGATGGCTAGTTCTAGATCTAATGTACTAGTATAGTAGTCTTTGCAGTTTAATTTAGAGAGTTTGCACAGATTCATCACACAGCATGCTCAGGAAGATGACATCACTTTCATTGTTACAGTTTGCTGACTGGACAGTGAAAGATCACCAGTGCACTCATGAGGTCATCCCTCTGCTTACTTTGCTCTCTCCTCCTGTCAGCTTGTTGCATTTTAGTGCATACAGTTTCAGTGCACCTGGCTCCCAGCCTTGCCACTCTCACTCTTTGCGAGTGTTTGCTTTTTAGGGGATTGTAGAAAGACGATACAAAGTCAAAATCGGGTACTTACATTACTTACATTGTAAAAAGACTTTAAAGGATAAGTTCACCCTTTGGACAAAAATAATAAATGCACATTTTTTGCAAGTAACAAAATGTGCATTTATTGCTTTTGTCCAAAGGAGCCTGGAAAGCATTGCACCAGCGATCAGTAGATCACTCATGCCATGCAGGTTTCCTGCAGACCTGTCAGAATATCTGCTTGCTGTACAGGATGTACAAACAAGCAGATGGCCTGACAAGGAAGCTTCAATGAACTACCACCGCGCTCCACAGCACCGTGGTAGTTCATTGCAAATTACAAGCTGACAGCCACTAAGTCTGTCGGGACTTGTGGGCACTCATTCACAGAACACTGTGAATCAGTGACGTGGCCATGTGGGCGAAGCCCCGCACGGCCATGCTGTTTTCAAATCTGACAAAAAGTACGGGGGAACTCCTCCTCGTACTATCTGTCAGAGGGAGGAGGGGGGGGGAGGCAGTGGGCATGGCTGTCCTAAAAACAGGTGGAACATGTAGCATGTTCCAAAGGTGAACTTATCCTTTAACAATTTATTAAACTCATTGCAGCTGTCTTGGTTGGTATATTTTATATCTGCTTGAAGTTCAACTTTAATAATTAAATTGTCATTTTATTTGATAATAGGTATAGTAAACTAGGACAACACTCGTGCCACTTGGGAGTTGACTCTTTTAAAAGATCAACTCAAGGCAAAAATATAAAAGCACCCTTTGTTTATATAATCCTTCAAGAGTTTCTCTTTGCTTTCTAGAAATTCAAAGGAAATTAGATTTGACCTCTTTTCCACCAGGCTCCATTATTTTAAATTTAAATCTTGCCAGAGGGCCCTGGACAGATATCCGTTTTCTTACCCTTTATTAAAGGGAAAGCATATTTTCATTTAGCAAATTCAAAGATAATATTGCAGTGCTTACCTTATAGTAATTTTTCACAAGACTTTCACCTTTTTTAACAAACTTCCTCTTTCTTTTTTTTAACTTATTTAATCAAAAGTAGAGATGGGTAGATTAGACTCTAGCAGCATGATAGATTAGAGACTACAATTAGTCTGCCTAACTACTTAAATGTATGTTAACCCTAACAGTGAACTTTTGTTTTTTCTCCTTTTGGACTGTTATACTGTAAATACTGTTGAAAATGTTATATCTGTTCAATTAATGCAAAAAAGATACCCATCGATTCTGGCAGAAATCATTGCAATTGTTCCTTTTGTGAAGTACACCTTGTCAAAGTACAATCGTTATGTTGCACTGTAACGTAGAAAGCAGAGCCTGCATATGTAACAATCAAATACAGCCCTCCCATGTACATATCTAATTCTAAACCATGCATAGAAATGTTTTCAAAATTAACACTATTACTATTAATACTATTTCTTTACTCTAATACTATTTCTTTCAAGCTATTTGCATATACAGTGTGTGTATGTATGTGTGTGTGTATATTTATATATATATATGTGTGTGTGTGTGTGTATATATATATACATACTGTATGTGTGTATGTATTTGCACTCACCATCCACTTTATTATGTACACCTTGCTATTGCCAAGAAAATATCCCCCGCACAATTACACCACCACCAGCAGGCGGGATGGATCCATGCTTTCATGTTGTTTGTGTTTATGCCAAATTCTGACCCTACCAACTGAATATCACAGCAACCAGTCTGCCCATTCTCTTCTGATATCAACAAGGCATTTTTGTCCACACAACTGGCACTCACTGGATATTTTCTCTTTTTCGGACCATTCTGTAAATCCTAGAGATGGTTGTGCATGAAAATCCCAGTAGATCAGCAGTTTTTGAAATACTCAGATCAGTCCGTCTGACCAACAACCATGCCACGTTCAAAGTCCCTTAAATCCCCTTTCTTCCCCTTTCTGATGCTCAGTTTGAACTTCAGCAAGTCGTCTGCACTACATCTAGATGCCTAAATGCATTGAGTGTATATATATATATATATATATATATATATATATATATAATATATATATATATAAACACTCATAAAGTAACTCTTGCAGGGGTTTTTAGCATTGCCAAGACAGAACATAAATGTTTCAGCCTCCTGGCTATCAGCAACTTTCGAGTCCCTGAGCCTGTCTCTATACAGATTCGCAACGTTGTCTCAGTCAGCTTTGCAACAACCTAAATGCCCACCTGGGCTGCACGGGCTCCTGCGTAATGATACACCATCACCCAATATCCCTCAGGTGACGGCCTAGTCAGATATGGTCTTTCCCTAAGGCCAGATCACACTCTTCCAGTGCCTGTGCAAACCCATTGCTCTTGCAGCAGTTTGTCTCCAGGAGAAGAAGCTTTGAACCAGACACAACCTGTTGATTAAAATGGTCATGCACACCTGCACTATCAGGCTGCTGGTCTCCAGTAAAACGTGAACACATGGGGTTAGAGGCTTCACCCCTCCCCAAGACTATTCCAAGCCTCTGGACTGCAAAACCGAATCCAAGAGTTACCAATCCTGGAGAAAATGGAAAACCAGAAACCAGTTTTCTTCACTTAGAATAAACCTCTTGGAGCCCCTCAACCTGCATCAGTGAGAAACATGTGTGGCATTATTATAGTTTTAGGTGATTATCATGTTTTTCACCAAGGGGAACCAGAGTCAAGTGACATTTCATCCCTATGATCAAAATATCTGAGAGATTCAGTATATGAAAATGATTGTGGTTGATTTTTGAAATGGGGGAGTAAAAATAACCCATGAATATGCCTTTCTGCTTTTCTGCTTCACTTTAATTATCTATGCTCATATGAAGTACATGTAAGAATTTACTGTGATCCATAAGTGTGTCATATATTTTCTCTGCAGCTATTATGTGCTCGGTGAAACCTGATGGGATTCCACAGCTGTGTCGGACGGATGAGATAGGGGAACTCTGTGTGTGCGCCCTCGCTACGGGTACATCCTATTATGGTTTATCCGGTATGACGAAAAACACATTCGAGGTGAGTGACACAACTTGCCACAAAGGTTTATAGTGATACTAAAGTTTGCTACTGTTAATCTGGCCTAAGAGAAATAAGTAAAATGACAACAACTAGGAAAATATCAAGTTTAATCTAATGAAAACTAAAATGTAATTGTCTGCTGTAGATGACTATGTACCCCTGCTCCATGTGTACATTATAGCAAGGGTGCTCAACCGGTGGCCCTCCAGCTGTTGCAAAACTACATGTCCCATCATGCCTCAGCCTTTAGGGGTCATGCTTTTAACTGTCAGCCTTGCAAAGCATCATGGGACTTGTAGTTCCGCAACAGCTGGAGGGCCACAGCTTGAGCATCCATCTATATACATGTTATTGCAGTGGCTTTGTCTGACTGCCAACCCTTATGACAAACTGTTAATCCTTGAAACACACCAGGTTGAGTTGCTGGAAATCACGGCAGACTACTTGCTGGATTTTAGAAAGTCAGCTTTAAGATGTACCCCTGATGACATTGCACCTGCCCTGAAAGTTTGAATGTGATTGCTGATATAGCAGTTAATACACAACACAGGTTGCAGAAAGAATATTCTTATTGCCCTCCTGCTAACCATATTGGATGTAATTGTACAATATTCTTCTTAAATGAAAATATAAGTGAACCCTTACCTTGCAAAACAACCAATTCAGTTTATATTTCAATATTTTTTATTGAAGAGTATAAAGGTAACAAATATGGCATTTGAGCATAAATCATATTTCAAGTAGTTCTGATAGAGAAAAAAACATGTACAGTTTAAGAATATTCCCAAACAAATAGATGTATACAAATCAAAGAGGGTAATCCTCATTAAAATTAGGTTACATAAACCCAATCCACAAGGGACCTGAAAACAATCAGTAGAGGTAACATCAATAGTGAAATAAAGTTGTAGTGTCAGTGGCACAATGAGAAAATATAGGGAAGTATAGGGGAAGAGGGGGAAGGGAAAGGTTGTTGGGTAGAATATGTAAGGAGAGAGTGAATTTAAAAAAAAAAAACAAACATTGTTCTTTTGCCTGAGAAAATAGTCAGTGTCAGAGCCACAAGAGGCCCTAAAGACATCCTGAAAATAGTCAACGATATCCAACAGAAACAAAAACGAAGGAAAAGAAAATAGGAGGAGGGTCAGCCCGTGACTCATTCAACCAATTCTGTTTAAAATAGAAATAAAAGGCAGAATATGTGTGTATGTGTGTATTCTATTCTTTCTAAGTGATTACATAATCAGCTGCTCATGTACTTGGAGAGGTGGAGGTCGAAAAAAAGCTGATATTTCCAATGAATGGCTGTGCAAGGGAGATGTGTCAGCACACGTCTGATCGTTGGGGGACAGGCAGGCTGTACTTCCAGCACATCCAGAAAAATGACTATGCTGGAATGTATGCACTCTCATGCCTAGCCTGGCCAGTTTGAATTAGGAGACCAGGATCACCAGGTATTTCCCACAAAGGAAGCAATACAAAGAGAACAGGATATGTTTTCATACAAAGAACATGGTACAGTAGACACAGTATTAGGAATATGAAATGTTGGGGGTATTGAAAGTGGAACTTCAGCCTTCTGATTTATGTCCTTCTCCCTTCCTCTTCTATTTTATGCACTTTTTTGGGAGGAAGAGCAGTGGGTACCTGGTTTTGACCGGTACTCTCTCTCACTTCCTGTCAGATCGCAGCGGCAGATCTACCAGAAGTTCTCCTCCTCCTCTCCCTGCCCACAACCTTCTGAGAACTGTGCTTTGTCCCAGAAGGTTGCGGACAGGGAGAGGGGGAGGAGTACTTCTGGCTGCAGGGAGGAGGACTTCTGGCTGCAGGACCATTCACAAAGTGCATCGCGGCTCATGCATGTGCAGTGAGGAGCCGGCTGTGAAGCTGCAAGTAATGACAGCTGGCTGCCAACGGTAAACATGCCAGCGCCGGGGACCCGAAGACGAATAAAGAACCGATTTAGGTAGGACAGCACTGAATTACTGAACAGGTGAAGGTCCTTTTATTTAAAGTCAGCAGCTACAGTATTTGTAGCTACAGACTTAATTTGTTTTTCAAATGGCGAAGAACTGCTTTAAGGATGGTCTGAGCAGATTTTATGCAGCTAAACTCAGGAACCACAGCCCAGATGCTTATAGTTTTATCCCTGATCTTTCACCTGCTTAGATTACTTATAACATTTCTTTTTCATGCAAACATTCTCTCACACTGCTCTAGAAATTGGTGATGTGGTGCTCTCAGCATGTTAAATAGTGAAGGTCGTATCATCTCCATTCAGCAGCAGACTACTGTCAGCCTGCTGAGCACTTGCCATTAAAAGCGTTTGTCTGGAGTGAATTTTAATAATTGAAGAGAATGTTCTAGCAATGCACTTCAAGACAAAACCTGTGAGGATTTGTAGGCTCTGTGCTGTTTTTTAATGTTAATGTTCTCCTGGAATTTATCATAATCTAACAGGAATTTTAATTCAATAAGCTTTTGCTTATTACCATTTAATAATTGACCTAAATATTATTTATTTAGTGAAATCTCAGTAATTCCCTATCAATATCATATCAAGAAGGGCTGCTAAACTTAAAGTACAAATAAGCCCAATCATTAAAATCTCATAAGCCTGTACATGTTCATTTAATTTCTGAAATTGCCATTTCATTTTTTACAAAAAAACTGCCTATGCAGGTAATGGATGAATGTAGATAAAAGCAAACTGTGCAGCTCTGACTAAAGTTGGATAATGCTCTTACTGTAGGCCATTTATGTACAGTATCTTCCGAAGCCTGGCCCAAAACCGTTGGAATTGACTAGGAGTGTCTTAGCAATGTCCAAGCAACAAAGCAGGTGACACCATCTGTAGGAGATTTTCAGTCAGGCTTCAAGAGGTACATAAATGGCATACACCTATAGCAAGGGCATTATTCAACTTTGTTCAAAGCTGAACAGTTTGTTTTTATCTACATGTACCCCTTACTTGCATAGGCAGTGTTTTGGTAAAGGTGAAATAACCCTTAAACGCAAGTCTTAAGCGTTTGTTAAAATAATACCTGGTGATTCTACTATGAAAATCTTTATTCAGACACTGAAAACTATAAACTGACAACGCTCTGTCCCTATTTCCCAGTTGTTCTGATTTGTTGTCACATGTCCCCGGATGAAGACTACAAGCAGTTTTTGTGACACATATTGGGAGATTTAATAAACCTGGAGAGTGAAAAACCTGGTGCAGCTTTGCACAGAAATCAGTCAGTTTCCAGGTGTCAAACCTTATTTGAAAATGCTGAAGTTAGAAGCTAATTGGCTACCATGCATAGCTGCACCAGTTTTTGCACTCTCCAGTTTTAGTAAATCAACCCCATAATGTGCAGGTATGTTCCACAATTGTCACCATCAGGAAGCCTGCCCTAAGCAGACATGAGCGACTGCTGCTAAATGTTTGTACAGGAGGTGTCTACTAAAGGCTTGTAGCACTACCCCCCCTTAGGAATTGCTGAAGGTTTGAGTCCCCCTATAGTCCTGCACAGCCAAGCAACATGCATCCCCTGGACAAGGCATCCAGTCCTGCCACTTTAAAAGAAAGACAGTCCCAGGTGGTTGCTAATGTGGTTTCTCTAAAGAGTGCTGCTTCCCATATTTGGCTCAGGTGGTGTAGATTTACTCGTCCCTCTCCTGTACTGCTGTTGATTCGGTGACTGCTACCGGGCCTTCTAACTGGGACGCTCCTCCTCTACTACACAGGTAGTCCTCTCTCAGTGGCCGGGTGCAAGCTTTCATTTTCCAAGAACCTCTGCCTGTATGTGAGCCCCTCTCCCATCTGGGCCCCCTCCCAGGCTCTTGCTCTTCAGCCTACTAATCCATCTTCTACCCAAACTCTCCTGTTGCTGAGCATGCTTTCTCATATTTAAGGGCTACTCTGACCCCTTGCCAAGCCTCTTGTTGGGGATTGGTCATAGCCCCTTGAATATGCAGGTTAGCCACTCCTCACATCTGTCCACTGCCTTTAGAACTTTCCCCAAAGTCACATGCAGTCAAACAGGATACAAAGCCTCTGATGGGAGCCACCTGTTGAGCAGCAGAGGAACGTTTATAGACTGATGAGCCGTCCGGTTGCTCCAGGCAACAGCAAGTAGGACAGCAAATGTGGCAAACATCTCACAGGTATTCGCAAGCACATACAGGGCACAGTCTTTGTTAGGGGCCACCTGGGGAACAGCATAAAGACTTTTAGATAGGCCCGGCATGGTTGCTAAGGACAGCAATGATAGCGACAGTCTTTTAACACACAGTAGTGATCACAACCCCTTAAATACAGTGCACTCCACTTCCCGCGAAGCTCCTTGACACTTTCCACCACTGTAGTCACTTCTTCTGCCTCGTTGGTTTGCCGGTTGCTAGGGGCAATGCCCATACAGGTCGCTATAGAAAATCCCACATGTAGCACCACCCTCTTAGGAGTTGCTGAAGTTTTGGGGCCCCCTATAGTCTTGCACAGCCAGGAAACACGCATTTTCACAAACTTACATTCAGGAGTCAATAACCAGTCCTTGAGTGTAGTTTTCGGTACTTGGATAGGGTTTGGGGTATAAGCTATTCCCACTGAGGACGAACTTCCTGAAACTATTTACAAGTCTGTACAGAAAACTTCTCTTCTTGGAGAGCTAGACAGCATCTCCTAGTGTACCACTCCAGACCCCAAATGTTCCTTGATCTTGTTGCCTGAAGGAAATCCCTGGACAGGGGATCCAGTCCTTCCACTTTAAAAGAAAGACAGTCCCAGAGTGCTCTTTCCCCAATTTGGCCCAGGGTTGTAGGTATACTCACTTGTCCCTCTCCTGTGCTGCTGTTGATTCAGTGGCTTCTAACAGGCCTTCTAGCTGGGTCGCTCCTCCTCTGCCACACAGGTGTTCCTCTCTCAGGGGCCGGTCAGGGTGCAAGCTTTTGCCTTTCAAGAAACTCTGCTTGTAAGTGAGCCCCTCTGCCATCTGGGGCTCCTGCTCTCCAGCCTACTTCTCAATCTTCCTCCCAAACTCTCCTGCTGCTGAGCAGGCTCTCTCATATTTAAGGGGGCTACTCTGACCCCTTCCCAAGCTTCCCGTTGGGGATTGGTCAGCACCTTTTGAATATGCAGATTAGCCTCCTCACACCTGCTCACTGCTTCTAGGACTTTTCCCAAAGTTCTAGGGCAGGGGGAAGTCTCAGAGAGCTGAATCTGCAGAGCCTCCCAGCCCTGACCGAAATTTGACTTTCTGACTATTGCACCTGGACTGCTACTGAAAATTGGCATTCTATCTCCCCCTAGCTAACTAGGAGGGTGCTACAGGCTGGAGGAAATTAGCAGCACAGAGACGCAACAAAAGGATTAAAATAGGTGAACAAGGTATTATATAAAATAAATAAATAGCATGGCAATTGTTTGATGTACTTTGCAAACTAAATCTCTTCCAGCTTGGGTGTAGATGTTCTTAAAGCTGTAGAAAGTTTTGATTATCCTAATTGTAATGTATAGTAGAAGGTCAATCTATTATATAATGATTTATGTGAAAATATAAAACCATCTATTGCTGGTAAATGTTGACTCAAACTACATTTTTCATGCCCAAGGAAAATAATTAAAAGCTACTCATCTTTCACAGTCTATATGAAAAAGAGCATAATATAAATAAAGCAAATTGAAAAGTGCATACATTTCCCAAATATAAATTGTAAGGCACACCTGTTCACCTTTTTTGCTATTTTGTTGGATAAAAAAAGAAAACATTGCATTGTTTTCAGTGACTCAGCTCATTTGCAGATTTTGTCAGCAGTAAAGCATAACCATTGAGTAGCACTGCAAAAGGGGAAGCAAATCCTGAGTATGTATTGAACGTATGAAAATATATGACTGCCTCCATGCACAGAAATAGCTGTAAACTATACTTTGCTACCTTTTTGTCTTTTCTAAACATTAAGTATTTACCAAATCAAGCTGCATTCTTTTACAAGTTTTTTTTTTATAGAAAACAGTTTTTTTTAAAAAATGACACTTGTACATATTTCTTTCCTTATTATTTTCTATAAGAAAATTGTAATATACAGTGCATTAAAAAATATTCAAACCCCCTTCAATTTTTGTAATTTTGTTATGTTGCAGCCTGATACTACAGTTGTTTAAATTTATTTTTTTTCTAATTTATCTATATTCAGTTCCCCATAATGATAAAGTGAAAACAGAACTTTAGAAAAGTTTGCAAATTTAGGAAAAAAGAACTGAAATACATTGGCATAATTATTCAGACCCTTTCCAACAACACTTGAAATATAGCTCAGTTTCCTCCCATTTCTCTTGATCATTGCTGAGATGTTTCTACACCTTGATTGGCATCCACCTATGGTAAATTATGATTGGCCATGATTTGAAAAGGCTTCACAGCTGACAACGCATACTATATCAGAACAAAAGCCATGAGGTCAAAGGAGCTGCCTGCAGAACTCAGACAGGATTATTGCAAGGCACATATCCGGGGAAGACTGCAAAAAAAATTTCTGCTGCACTGAAGGTTCCCAAGAGCACACAAGAACCTAATGGTCACTCTGCCAGAGCTCCAGAGATCCTGTGTGGAGATGGGACACTGATCTGGGCTTTATGGCAGAGTTACTAGACGGAAGCCTCTTGTCAGTGCAAAACACATGAAAACCTGCTTGGAGTTTGCAAAAAATAAAATTAATTCTAGTATATATACCATTGTTTGTAACATGCAAACCCTTTATAATATGCTTATTGGGATTCTTTTTTTTTCTTTTACCAAAGACATGTAGCAGAATACATTTTGGCCTAAATTTAAAAAGAGATTTGATTTTTTTAATAGGATATGTTTTATAGCAGAAAGTAAAAAAAAAATGTTTTTTCAAAATGTTCAGTCCTTTTTCATCTATATAATAAAAAAAATGAAAAACCCAGTGGTGATCCAATACCACCAAAATAAAGCTCTATTTGTGTAAAGAAAAATGATATTAATTTTATTTGGGTACAGAGTTACATGACCGTGCAATTGCCGGTTAAAATATCGCAGTGCTGAATAACAAAAAATGTGCTGGTCATGAAGGGGGTAAAATTTTCCAGAGCTGAAGTGGCTAACAGCCCATTTACACAAGTCATTTCTGAATTTAGCTGTATTGACCAAGAAAGGGTTTTTTATGGGCAAATCAGCCTTTAATTTGTCACAGTACTTAATCAGAGCTGCATGACCTGATAAGATCTGTTCTAATTTTAGTTAGCGTTGGACCAGACTTATAGGCGCACCTTGAAAATTATGTACATTTTTCATATATGTTTGCTAACATATTCATGTGAGACCTCTGCTGTACTTATTACAGTGCAAGGCTTAATAAAGTCACCTTTATTGGCTAGCTGAGTGTTAGGGACTATGTTTTAATCACTTAAAGTGTTACTAAACCCACAACAGTAAAATAAGTCTATATGTAGTAAAGCATGCTTGTTATACTCACTGTGGAACCTAAGGGGTTAATCATCTGCATTGTGTAAAAAGGCCATTTTAATCCTGTCTTCTCTGCCCCTCCTCTTATTCAAATGTCCACGTCTTATCTCCTGCTAACAGACTGAACCCGTAACCATTCTGCACATGCTCAGTTTAGTGTGTTTTGCTAGAGAGGATTTTTCTTGGGAGAGTGCATGTGATCAGCACTGTCTAGAGAGAGGTTAGGGGTTTTGCATCCCAGAGCAGAAAACCTCCTCCTACAAGCTTTAACCAATGCTCTGCTGAACACTGATAGCAGTCACAAGAGTGATCTAACTGCTGATCAGAAAAGGTGTTTAGCAGTTTATATTTACTAAAATAATTGCACTTCCATGTTCTGTGTACTGTGGGAGACCAGATATAGTGAATGTAGGGTCCTGGGTTTAGTAACACTTTAAATGTAATTGTTTCACCCATATATACGTTTTGTACTTGAATTGTTTGTGATTCCTTGGGGTGGCTATGACATTTAACTGTTGCATGATTTGGTCTTGTTGGCATACCTTCAGCTGTGTGAAAGTGTTTTATATAGGTCAGGTGCCAAATAAATTTGACTTTTGCACCAGCCAGATTGGGAAGTTAATATGATATATGTTTATGAAATAAATGCCATACAACCAATACAACCTGCCACTTCATAAGGGTTTATCCTAGGCTTTCTACTTTCTAAAAAATACTATTTTCCTGGTCTTCTGCATCAATATTTCGAGTCATTAACTTGGAACTTGCATGCACCTGATAAGGGATGGTTCATTAGATGAAGCTTTATGAACAAAAGACAGTTAATAGCACACTATTGAAAAGTCTCTGAAGGACACGTGCAAAGTAAATTAAAGCTGTACTTGCTGGTCAGGAAAAAAATACAAAATCATAATATGATGCTGTATTTAACTGGCTAAAAACATGTTTTAATAGTGTTATGTTTTATGTCTGACCATAATACATCTAGGAAGGAAATTTGTACAAAACCACTACAAATTTTTTTTAAAAGCAAAGCTGGACAGCAATATAATGAGAAATCTTGGTGCAAAAGGTGAAGGGCATTTTGAGCATGATGGGTGAGTGAGTGGTCAGTGATTCCAGTACTTCATAATTCAAATGAACTACATGAAAGCAAGACTACAACTGATTGAGTAGCGCCAAGAAAAAAAGTCCACAATGTAACACAATTGTCCACAATGAATATAAATTTTAAAAAAGTGCATTTATTAATGTCCAAAAGTATGCCCCTTCCCCGGCTCCCTTTAAAAATCTCCTGTGCCTGTTACAGTCCAGTGACCTGAAGAAGATGCGTGCCCCAAAACATGTAGTCATCTGTGCAACCGGTGGTTTTATTTCCTCTCTGGAGGCTGACATCATATAGCCTATGTGCCCAGAAGCCCACTTGCCCTGATCTCGGACATTCGGGCAGGCTTCCTGCCAGGTCTGTGATGTCACATCCGGTCTGGGGCTTCCTCTGCTCCTACCTCCTGAGCCTGTGTCAACTCTAGGTGGTTACATCTCCTGCATACACCACTGGTCATCCGCTTCAGCTTCCTGCCAGTTTCGTGATGCACTTCCGGCGTGACGGCGGCACTCGATGTACCATCTCTGTGTCCCCATACAACATATACGAGCACAGCCAGGTTGAATCCATCCTTGCAGGGGAACTTCAGAGGTATCAGGACATGGGCCATCTTAACATCCCAGGTTGTTCACAAGGTTTGTGATTGTACATACAAGTCAGGCTTGTGTCATGTGTTGTTAATACTTTTGGACATTAATAAATGCACTGTTTTTATTTACTTTCATTGTGGACAATTGTGTTACATTGTGGACTTTTTTTCCTTGCCTCTCCTCAATCAGTTATAGTTTTGGACAGCAATATGTAGATCCGAATTTATGGTATGCACATATTATAAAAGGTTATTTTGAATATGAATGTATTTATTTTTAAGATATGAATTTTGATGATTGATCCAGTATGTGAAAAGAGTCACTTCAAATGTCAGCCAAATTATGTTTTGTTTCTTTTTTTCTTTCTTCTTTTGTAGGTTTTTCCAGTGACCAGTTCGGGTGCGCCTATTAGTGAATATCCATTCATCAGGACTGGTCTCCTTGGGTTTATAGGACCAGCTGGGCTGGTCTTCATTGTTGGGAAAATGGACGGTCTGATGGTTGTAAGTGGGCGGAGGCACAATGCTGATGACATAGTAGCAACAGCTTTGGCAGTAGAACCAATGAAGTTTGTCTACAGAGGAAGGTGAGTAGATCATTTTTTTTACCAGACTAGCTGGCTTTCAGATTGAGTTTAGATTGAGTTGAGTATAATACATATTTTTTATTGGCTAGCTAAACATATTGTAACAAGTTTTTTTTTTTTTTTTTTTTTTTTTTACACTTTCATTTTTATACACTAAACTATATTCAGTCTTAAGCCAATTTTTTGTACATTTTGAATGGAGTTGGAGGAGGTGAGAAGAAAAGATCCAATGGAAAAACTGGTTCAGTGACAGCTGCGTAAGATGGGGATTTCCTCACTAAATTCCCAGTTCCCGTTTTATCACTAAGACAAGAAGTGAAGGGAAATCTTCCCAACAGGGCAGACACAGGAGGTTTTAATCATCCTCTCCCATTTACTTACAAACATGTTTTGGCCTTGATATTTACATTACCAATAAAAGGTATATTATTTTCCATATATAGTATTTGCTTCCTTGGAAGTTAAATTAACGCTCAGTCTAGGGGATGTCCTTTTAGGAATTATTGCTGAAGAACTGTAACAGGATAGGGGTTTAGGGTCACAGGATACTCCAAAATGATCAGTAACAACAGTAGGAGAACAATTTTCTCTCTAATCCTTCAATAGCAGCTTTTGTGGAGGTATGACCAGTATATCCACAGTAGGACCTTACAGCAGCAGCCCATAAAACCACATCTTTTCAATAGCCCATAAAACCATCTCTTTTCAAGATGTTTTCTCTTTTTCACCTGGTAATCTTGTGTATACTGCTGTTTCTTTCTCTGGGTGCTGATATTCCTTCAGCTTACAGTATCCATGTTTCACCCAGTGGAAAAGGCAATACTTAAATCACTCATCAGACCAATATAACCTCTTAAATTAAAAAGACGGTCTCATGTACTTGATTACCTAAACAGGGTATGGAAATTTCCAGATGTGGTAATTCAAACTTATCTACTCATTTACTCCATCATCCCACACAGAAACCAAAGGATATAAATGATGATATAGTGTAGTACATTTATTAAATTATGTTAAAAAAAATTACAAAAGTATTATATACTCACATTTATATGTGCCTCCACATTGGCACAAATGTATCAGCATGGCTGTGTGTATGCTGGCACCGCCGCTCTGCACTTCCCAGGAGTCAGCGTGTGTTGCAGCAACCAGAAGTGACCGGAAGTCAGCGACCAGATGATCCACCTCAAAAGCATTTTCAGCACTCTGACATCATCAGGAGTAGCTACTAAGATAAGTTTGAATTACCACCACATCTGGAAATTTCCATACCATGTTCGGACAAACAAGCACGCGAGACTCATTGGTCTGGTGAGTGATGTAAGTATTCCTTTTCCACTGGGTGAAACATGGATACTGTATGGTGAAGGAATATCAGCACCAAGCAATTGTGCTTTTCAAGATTACACTTACAGTTGTGTTCAAAATAATAGCAGTGTGTTGAAAAAAAGTGAATAAAGCTCAAAATCCCTCTCATAGCTTTTATTTCCATACACACAAATGCATTGGGAACACTACACATTCTATTCCAAATCAAAACATGAAGAAAAATATATCAAATTTGTGTTGTTCCTCTAAAACAATTGAAGAAAAGTGAATATTAGACTGTTCAAAAAAATAGCAGTGTTTGTATTCTTCTTTACAAACTCAAACATTCACCATATAAACTGAAAAATGTTTGAAGATTTTGCTTTCCTTTGAATCACTTAATGAATATTTAGTTGTATAAGCACTGTTTCTGAGAACTGCTGTACATCTGTGTTGCATGGAGTCAACCAACTTCTGGCACCTGTGAACAGGTATTCCAGCCCAGGATGATTGGACTACATTCCACAGTTCTTCTCTATTTCTTGGTTTTGCCTCAGAAACTGCATTTTTGATGTCACCCCACAAGTTTTCTATTGGATTAAGATCCGGGGATTGGGCTGGCCACTCCATAACGTCAATCTTGTTGGTCTGGAACCAAGATGTTGCACGTTTACTGGTGTGTTTGGGGTCGTTGTCTTGTTGGAACACCCATTTCAAGGGCATTTCCTCTTCAGCATAAGGCAGCATGACCTCTTCAAGTATTCTGATGTATTCAAACTGATCCATGATCCCTGGTATGCGATAAATAGGCCCAACACTGTAGTATGAGAAACATCCCCATATCATGATGCTTGCGCAACCATGCTTCACTGTCTTCACAGTGTACTGTGGCTTGAATTCAGTGTTTGGGGGTCATCTGACAAACTGTCTCCGGCCACTAGACCCAAGAAGAACAATCTTACTTTCATCAGTCCACAAAATGTGCCATTTCTCTTTAGGCCAGTCAATGTGCTCTTTGGCAAATTGTAACCTCTTCAGCATATGTCTTTTTTTCAACAGTGGGACTTTGCGGGGGCTTCTTGCAGATAGCTTGGCTTCACATAGGCGTCTTCTAATTGTAACAGTACTCACAGGTAACTTTAGACCTTCTTTGATCTTCCTGGAGCTGATTGTTGGCTGAGTCCGCGCCATTTTGGCTATTCTTCTATCCATTCGAATGGTAGTTTTTCGCTTTCTTCCACGTCTTTCAGGTTTTGGTTGCCATTTTAAAGCATTTGCGATCGTTTTAGCTGAGCAGCCTATCATTTTCTGCACTTCTTTATATGTTTTCCCCTCTCCAATCAACTTTTTAATCAAGGTACGCTGTTCTTCTGAACAATGTCTGGAACGACCCATTTTCCTCAGAATTTCAGAGAGAAATGCACTGTAACCAGCATGTACAACATTTGCTGCCTTCCTTCCTTAAATAATTGCAACCTGTTATTCAAAGAATGAATGACCTCACTAATAGAACTCCACACTGCTATTATTTTGAACATGCCCCTTTCAATTAGTGATTCAATTACACAGAATCAGCAGCATGCATGTCATGACTGTTGGGTCTGTTGGATTTCTATTACTCTACTACACGTGCTAGTAAATTATTTGCCATGTAGAAATATCATTTCTACCAAAAGCAGTGATTGATCAGGTTAGTGATGTCTGACTGCTATTATTTTGAACACAACTGTATATGGACTTTTGTGCACTTTTTTGGACATTGCGCTATTTTGTTTTTATATTGAATTTACAAATTTATTTACAATTAAATGCTGGTATATTTGCACAGAACCATATTTGTGTATTAGTTGAGTATACTTTTATTGTGATTTGAGTACTTTATCATTGCGCCCCCTATTGAGATTAAAGATACTCTTCTTTCATTGCTGGTTTCAAAGTTATATTCTCATACCAGATCTCATGCCCTCCAGGCATCGGACTCTAGTTAAACATGGCTATGTTCATTTGGAGGAACAATCAGTTTTGTCTTCAGAGGCAGGGCATCATAGGGTATTTAATAATACTCTGTATCTTTTATTCTGTTGACACAAACATGACATAAACCAAATTGCAGCTTTTCGGAGAGGAGAGATGATAGCATTTCATGAGCAGTGCTGACAGCTCACACGGCTGCAGGCTCAACCAGGCCGATAATTACCAGAGAAAACTCAGGCGAGCCAGTGTCTGTCATGCTCCTGATACGTGCTGTGACCATAAAATTTCTCCAACCTCACATCCGGATATACTTCATTTTTTTCTGCAACAACATGTTGTGTCATGCAGCAGTTGTTTGTAAATGTTTTGTGAACCTCTAGTATTTTATGGATTTCTGAAAAAATGGTTCCTAAACTGTGATCTGATTTATTGATGTAATCCAGAGCAACATGCTCAAAGAGGTGCTGGGAACTTTCAGACTTATAGTCTTATGAAGGTAAATATAAAACCATTTCCCATACAACAAGGCTTACCTCAATGGGCACCAGACAGCGACTCAAGCCATAGAAGTACAGAAAGGAGCGCCAGGGCAAAACTGATTGAAAGAATCCAAGATAATGATAATTGTTGGTAAATAAGTCATTTAAAAAAAAAAGCCAACACTTTTCAGGTGGCAACAACCCCTTCATCAGGGCTACAAGTACAAACAGTAAATAAAAAATTAGATAAAAATATAATAAATTGCATGAAACGGAAAATGTGCAAACAAGTGCTGAAATCTCAAACTACTGCAATAGGACTAATTGGCTACCAGAACACACTAGGAGACCAAACTGCTAAAATAAAAAATCGCTTTTGGGGAAAAGTACAAACAAGAGACCAAGCTATTGAAACAGCACTAAATGAGTACTGAAAAAAATACAAAAATACTAGACTACAGAAATAAAGCAGATTGGCTACTGAAATGAGACTTAAAGTGTTACTAAAGGCTATTTTTTTTTTTTCTATTAAAAAAAAACAAACATGTTATACTTACTTGCCCTTTGCAATGGCACAGAGCGGCCCAAAACTTCCTCTTCTCCTGTCCCCCTCTGGCAATCTGTGTTGCCCCTCTTCTTAGTGTGTCCCCATAGTAAGCTGTTTGCTATGGAGGCACACGGTATCTACTCACTCATGAGCTGTGTGTCTATAGAGCCACGCTCTATAGACTCACACAGCGGGGCTTAGCCCTGTCCCCCACTTTCTACTCACTGCATTTGATTGACAACAGCAGGAGTCAGTGGCTCCTGCTGCTGCTGGAGTCATGTGTGAAGAGGGAGAGAGGTGAGTAGAGATTCAGCCGTGCTCTCCTCTCTTCCCATTCATACAGGGAAGGGAGCAGTCAGAGAAATATACTGTGAAACATTTTTTACTTTAATGCAAGCAATGCATTAAGGTAAAATACATTTTTAGCTTTAGTATCACTTTAATGATCACTAAGAAGTCAAATTGCCGAAATATGACCAATTAGTTACTAGAACAAGTACTTGCAAAGCACTAAGAAACCAATCTGTTGAAATAGAATGAATTCACTACTGAAAAAAATAATAGAAAACACTAGGAAATTAGGCTGTTGAACTAAGACTAATTAGCTTGTACTAATTCTGCTTTTCCATTTTAAACCCATTAAAAGTGGTTGAAACTGCTAAAGTAACTGCTAAAACCTCTGCTTGGTAAGTTAACATGTTTACGAATAGCCTACTTAAAGTGTTACTAAACCCACAACAGTAAAATCAATATGCAGTAAAGCATGCTTGTTCTACTGACTGTGGAACCTAAGGGGCTAATCTTCTGCATTGTTTAAAAAGGACGTTTGATCTTGGCTGCTCTGTTCCTCCCCTTATTCAAGCATCCACCTCTTATCTTCTGATAAGACAGAGTGAACCGTAAGCATTTTGCACATGCTCAGCTTAGTGTGTATTGCTAGAGAGGTTTTTTTTTTTTCTTGGGAAAGTGCATGTGATCAACACTGGTCAGACAGAAGTCAGGGGTTTTGCATCCTCCTAGAGCAGAAAGAAAACTCCTCCTACAAGCCTTAGCTAGTGCTTGCTGAACGCTGATAGAAGTCACAAAACTGCTCTATTTGCTGATGAGAGAAATTATTTAGCAGTTTATATTTACTAAAATAATTGCATTTCCATGTTGTGTGTATTGTGGGAGACCAGATATAGTGAATTCAGGGTCATGGGAGACCGGATATAGTAAATACAGGGTCCTGGGAGACCGGATATGTTGAATGCAGGGTCCTGGGAGACCGGATATAGTGAGTGCAGGGTCCTGGGAGACCGGATATAGTGAATGCAGGGTCCGGGGAGACCGCATATAGTGAATGCAGGGTCCGGGGAGACCGGATATAGTGAATGCAGGGTCCTGAGAGACCGGATATAGTGAATGCAGGGTCCTGGGAGACCGCATATAGTGAATGCAGGGTCCGGGGAGACCGGATATAGTGAATGCAGGGTCCTGAGAGACCGGATATAGTGAATGCAGGGTCCTGGGAGACCGCATATAGTGAATGCAGGGTCCTGGGAGACCGCATATAGTGAATGCAGGGTCCTGGGAGACCGCATATAGTGAATGCAGGGTCCTGGGAGACCGGATATATTGAATGCAGGGTCCTGGGAGACCGGATATATTGAATGCAGGGTCCTGGGAGACCGGATATAGTGAATGCAGGGTCCTGGGAGACCGCATATAGTGAATGCTGGGTCCTGGGAGACCGCATATAGTGAATGCTGGGTCCTGGGAGACCGCATATAGTGAATGCTGGGTCCTGGGAGACCGCATATAGTGAATGCTGGGTCCTGGGAGACCGGATATAGTGAATGCAGGGTCCTGGGAGACCGGATATAGTGAATGCAGGGTCCTGGGAGACCGGATATAGTGAATGCAGGGTCCTGGGAGGATATAGTGAGGGTCCTGGGAGGAAGATATAGTGAATGCTGGGTCCTGGGAGACCGGATATAGTGAATGCAGGGTCGGGGAGACCAGATATAGTGAATGCACGGTCTGGGGAGACCGGATATAGTGAATGCAGGGTCCTGGGAGACCGCATATAGTGAATGCAGGGTCCTGGGAGACCGCATATAGTGAATGCAGGGTCTGGGGAGACCGCATATAGTGAATGCAGGGTCCTGAGAGACAGGATATAGTGAATGCAGGGTCCGGGGAGACCGGATATAGTGAATGCAGGGTCCGGGGAGACCGGATATAGTGAATGCAGGGTCCGGGGAGACCGGATATAGTGAATGCAGGGTCTGGGGAGACCGGATATAGTGAATGCAGGGTCTGGGGAGACCGGATATAGTGAATGCAGGGTCCTGGGTTTAGTAACACTTTAACTGCATGAAAACCACTTGTTCAGAAAAGATATACATCTTTTGTGTGCTGTTTAAGAAGATCCTTTAATTGTTACTATGATTTGTAGTAGAAGATCAGATTGCATTTTAGGAGACATTTATTCAGAAATCTAAGCTATTCCAAAGTAATTTCAAAATTTGTTTTCAGCAGTGTATGGTTACATATAGCATTCTTTCCTTACAAGGAGATCTAGATACCGTACATAGAAGGAACATGTGCTTTCTGTCTTTCACAATAAACTGGTACAAAGGGCAGTGAGGAAGCGCAAAGTTCAGCAACCTTTTGGCACCAATTAAGTTTCAGATTATTACAGTCAGATCAGTTTAAGGATTATTTCTGATTGGCTGTTGTGGGTAACTTCACTTTGCCCATCCAGTCCTTTGCACTAAATTGAATAAAACCAGCAGAATCCAATTGTGATACTACAAATATGATGGTTACAACAAAGCTGGGTACCTTACATGGATTTTGTTTTTGTTTTTGCAGGATAGCAGTGTTTTCTGTGAATGTCCTACATGATGAGAGGATAGTTATTGTTGCAGAGCAGCGGCCTGACTCTACGGAGGAGGACAGCTTCCAGTGGATGAGCAGAGTTCTACAGGTGGAGTAATAGAGCTGGAAAGAAAAAAACAATCATTTAGCCATCAATCCGTTAAGATACAATAGGATTTTAGATGTGTCAAACACAAGGAATGAAGTATTGTCCTGTATTAACCCCTTATATATGTAATTTTATAATTTGCCTTTGCATCTAACAGGGACATATGCTGTAGGTAATGATATATATAATATAAATGAAAGTAAACAATTATATAAACAAACATTACAAAATTCGCACAAATAAACAATGTTAAAGTGGTTGTAAACCCTACTTATACCCAGTGAAGTGACGGGCCTCAGGTGATACATAGAGATGAAACAAATCCTTCTACATAAGTTGTACCTGTATATCTGCAGCCCTCTTCAACAGTCATTTAAAGTGCAGAAAACAGGATCTATCACCTCTAATTGGAGGGAAGGGACCCCCCCCCCCTTCCATACCGCAGACAGAAAGAGAGACAAGGCTGTCAATCACAGCCTGTGTGCTGGAGATCCCTCCCCTGTCACCCCTTTGGTGTTAGGAAAACTTGTCAGAAGTTACTCCAGCTGATGAGGAATGAGGCAGCAGATAGAAATTACACCTAGTGCTCTGGATTGAGACAGATACACACTATAGATGGATGTGCTTTGTTCATACTTCATGTCTGAGGTTTACATCCACTTTAAGGTGTATGTAAAGCTAAAACATTTTTGAGTTTAGATGGGTGGGGAAGGGTTAGGTAGGTTTTTGTTGCTGTGTCCCCACTGGGGAGGTTCTCTCTGTATATTTGTCCTGGTGATCATTGTCACTGGTTCAGGCAGTGATTGATTTATTGCTGGCCAATAACAAACTTTAGAACCCCTAAGGCTCAATACTATTAAGTACCTGTAGCTATTTCGCCTCTGTATGTTTTAATAAACTACAGATTACCTTCCCTTTTGGAAATGTGGTAAGCAACCATGTATTTCGGAAGTGCTACTGTATGGCCCTTTACTATAAAATATTTAACTTTAGGTATTGGATTAAGGTGTATTTAAAGTCAAAACTTTTTTTTAGTTTGGACAGAGTGGAGAAGGGTTAGAACATCCTGACATTTTTATATTGCTGTATATACCACTTTTTCCTGCTTAATTCTATGACCTTGAGAAATGGAACCTGCATGTCTTTTTTTGTATCATGCTGCATTGGTGTGCTAGCTATTCTTTGGTTCTTCAAGGTTTTTTTTTTTTTTTTTCGTGTCCCTACTGGGGAGATTTACCCTCTGTCTTTATCTTGGTGATATTACATTGCAACCAAAAGTGAGGGAAAATCCCAAATATTTCGTTTTTGCTACAGCAGTAATAGAGGGAAGTCTTCCAGTGGAAACACTTGTTACATTGACAACTGTCTAGGATTTAACTTTGAAAAAGATTCCTTTCACTTCTAGGTGTTTCTACAAGACAGGAGATGAAGGGAAATCTCCAAAATGGAAAACAGCTGAAAAAAGATGGTCTTTAATCCTACCTTACTCTATCCAAAACGAAAAAAGTTCAGATGTACTTTAATTGGGATCAAATATGGATCAATAGAGTACAGTATGTAGACTTTGAGTAGACCCTGCCCGTCCTGTTGTGTGCAGGGTAGAATATATAAACAATTCCTAGATAGCTGTATAAGAGTTGGAAAAAGGGCCAAGATTAACTTCCCTTCTTTTCTGTCTGCTGCGCCAATAGATCCTGTCCTGCTATTGTCACTTCTTTGTCATGTTCTGCTTTAAGTTTGATTTTGTGCTTTTGTAATTTTTAAATATATAAATAAAGATACAGCAGTTACTGAAGAAAATAAGATGTAATTAAAGTGTCTTTTGTAAATTTTTTTCTGTATAATTAACATAATCTGACCTCTTCTGGATTTCTTGTAGGCCATTGACAGTATCCATCAAGTTGGAGTTTACTGTTTAGCTCTAGTACCAGCAAACACACTCCCTAAAACTCCTTTAGGTGGCATTCACCTGTCAGAGACCAAGCAACTGTTCCTTGAGGGGTCACTCCATCCATGCAATGTGCTCATGTGTCCTCACACATGTGTAACGAACCTTCCAAAACCAAGACAAAAGCAGCCAGGTAAGTTAACTGCAAAGGTTTCACAACTTGCACATTCAGAGATGGACTTAGAGGGGAAGCGGGAAGGTGGGGGACTGCTGCAGTTGTGAAATGCAGAAACTTAGAGGTACACATACCTCCAGCAGCCTCTTAAGCCTTCCTGCCATAGTTGATTGCTGGACTGTTCTACAAGGTAAAGCTTCAAGGTAGTTTCGGAGCTTGCTAATAAGCTCCCCACTTTCCTGTTGAACCATAACTGTGATTAGCAGCCTATCTAACCAATAGGAATGTACAGAAGGCAAGAAGGAGCAGGCAAGCTGTGGCACTTCTGAGATTTGGCAAGGACAAAAAGATTTGGAAGGCTGATGCCGGTATGTGCAGGCACCTTTAGGTGACAAATTCTCCTACAGTGACAAATTCTCTTTAACTGAATAGTAGTTGGAAAAGTTTTTAGGCGCAGTATGTGTGCACGGAGGAGTTAAGCTGACCATAGACAGAGCGATTTTCTTTCTTGCAACCACAGGTTGCAGGAAAGAAAGTTGCTTGATTCCCCCATTAATACAGTCAACTCTGATGGGGGAATCCCTCCCGCCGAGCCATTGTGGACAGCTCCCTCTGCCGGAAAATCATAGTGATTACTGCTAGCCACTATAATAGCTGCTGACAATTGCATGTAAAATCTGATAGGCTGGTTGTATCCAAGTTGATCGATCAACTTGGATACATTCAGCTTGCTCATACATGGTTCAAATCTCAGCTGTTCCCTGCTGAATCGGCGTAGATTTGAGCCATCTATGGCTGGCTTTAGTTAATTCTAGCACCAAAGTATGGCGAAAACTGTGCATTGAGCTGCATGTGTGTGGCTCAGTGCAGGTTAGCAAGTAGGTTAGAAGCTCCTCTTTGCATACAGCTTTCCAAATAGCAGGGAGCTGCTTTGAGTTACTTTTGTATGCACCTTGGATTATGATGGCAGAAACATAGAATAAAAAAAAACATACACCACCATACATAATCTCCTAATAAACCAGTCCACCCTAAAATGATGTTTCAGCTTTTTGTAGATGCTGGAGGGTTAAACCACTATATAAAATCTTGAGTTCTTTGGGGACTCCGTGAGATTGCTGTCATTGAGCTAATACTCACCTGATGGAGATTTAATTTTTTTACTTAATGGAAAATGTAACAGAGCTCCCTGCTGTTTGGAGAACTGTAGCTCTGACTTAGCTGGGGTAGGGGTATGTCTGCTGTAGACTACTGGATGGAGACCAGCTGATTGAGAGATGCGTAAGCTACATTCGTAAACAAATCAAGATTTATCGGTTTTAAGCACCCTAAATGTGTTTATTTAATTTTCAATGAGCCTTTTCATTTTGGATTTGGTTGCATTTTTTCTTGTGTTTTAAAGGAACGGAATGCACATAAACTTTTCTTAGCCAGTTTTGGATTGTGTTCTATTTAGTAACAATTTCCCTGTGAATTAACGTTCACGCTACAAGTCAGAAGAGAACTTTATTAAGGGCACTAAACTGAAGGAACAGGATTTTGTTAGCAATTAGGGGTTCTGCAGAAGAGATAATAAACCACCTTGTGGGGTTCTTAATGTAATTGCCATATTTTGGGTCATTTTCATCGGTTTAAAACAGGGGTGGCTCAAGAATGTTTTGCATGCAGTCTAACACAAAATCACAAACTTACTTAAAAATGTTAATTTTTTAAAACTTTTTTTTTATAAAAATGTGTTTACCCTTAGCGAACACATGCGTCCAAAGAATCATGTGGCAATGTCTCTTTACTGGACTTTTATAAGTTTTATCTTTTCAAAGAAAAATAACCCACTCCTCACAATCACGCCTTATTCATGTCACCAGTTTTCGCCAGCACCTATATTTGTGAGCAACTGTATCTAAGGATAAAGTACACGAAGGGCAAAATTAGAACCAGAATATCTGAGTAGCACCTTGACATTTCATTGAGAATTGCTTCTACATCCATGGAACCAGATACTGATAAGTTAGTTTATCAAAAACAGTGTCAAATATCGCACCAATTTCATGTTGCCCTCTTTTACTTTTATAATACAAAATATTTAAAAAAACAATAAAGTTCTATTACTCAGGTTCATTATCTATATGAGTGATCATTAACTTGTGATCCGCCTGACTTTTTCTGCTCATCGGGTATCCTTATTGTTGGTGTATTTTACGTTTGACCCAAGATGATTCCTTTTTCTTTTGCCATTGTGGCCCAGGAAGTCAAAATTTTGGATACCTCCCTGATTTAAAACATGGAAACTTGCTACTGAAGCAAACTTTCTCTCAATGGGAGCACAGAGCTATGCAGCTTTTGGGTCCTGAAAATAAGAAACCAATTTGGGGTGTTTACTATTATGTGATCACCATGTATATCCTAAAACATTTTATTAGTATAAAATTCACATAAACTGGTAATTAAACATTTTATATGTGTATTATAGAATGGCTCAATGCTTATGTGACATTTGCATTAACATTCAAAGCTCATGTGTCTTGAAACTTTTGATGCTGCTACTGGGACTTGGTGGAGATGTCCCATTATTGTCTAACCAACTTGGATACAGCCTCTTGGACTGATTGGGGTTTATTTACTAAAGCTGGATACTGATACAGAGCATATACGGAGACTGAGAAACAGTATGCTCACTTATGCATAGAAACCAATCAGCTTCTAAACTCAGCTTGTTCAGTTAGGCTTTGGCAATAAAACCTGGAGGCTGATTGGTTTCTATGCAGAAGTGAGCCTGATTTTGCACTCTCCAGCTTTAGTAAATAAACCCCATTGTGTCGCTTTTCTACATTTCTGTTCATGTATATGATAGATTCTAACTGTACCTACTGTTTCTCAGTCTCCAAATATGCTCTGTATCGGTGTTGCCTTTTGTAAAAACAGATGTCACAATTTTCGCTTATTTCATGTTTCTCATGTGTTTGCTGTATGAACCATATCTGTATTGTGTCTAAATATCAATAAAACTTCTTTTGATTAAAAAAATATTCAAAGCTCATCATTTCATCTGAGTAATATATAACGTGTTGTCCTTTGCAGAAATCGGCCCTGCCTCTGTGATGGTGGGGAACCTGGTTTCTGGCAAGAGAATTGCACAAGCCAGCGGAAGGGATTTGGGACAGATAGAAGACAATGATCAGGCCAGAAAGGTAAGTAAAAATCTAACGACTGATAAACATACAGACCTATTGAAATTTCATCTAACCACCAACTGTGATGAAAACCATGCAACATGAAATTCTTGATGAAAACCTGGCAATTTATCGATTATCATTTTGGGAAAATGACAATGATAATGTCATTGAGAAGAATAACCAATGCAACTGATGATGTAATGTGAAAACTTTTGATGTCTTGTAATAAAGTACACATATACAGTAAGTGGTAGGTAGGACAATGGAGCTCTTGGTTGAGAAATCCCTTTTAAGGCAAGGTAGCTAATCTACTCACCTTAAAGCAAATATGTGACAATGCTATGGACATTCAAGTATTTGCACATTTCTAATATCCAATAAATTAGCTTTAAAACAAGCCCTCACTGATCTATGTAACTGCAGGCAAATGTCACTGCAGATGCACTGAATTCCTCATTAGTCATCAGCAACTCGCCCTGCTCCCCCTTCCAAGAGCACCTGCTCTGTATTCACACCTGTTCACATAATTCACATTAGAGATCAGAAGGATTTTACGTCACAGCTGGGAGGAGGGTGAGCTGAGATGCTGAGAGGACAAATTACACTATTTCAGTGCTTCTGCTTTGAATTTGAAAATTATTTTGTTCATCCTACCTGCAGCTACAGAGGTTGGTAAAGATTTTTTTTTTTTTTCAAGCTCACATATACAATACAATGAATGGGCTTGGCTAAAAGCAAGCACTGCTTATTGACTTGGGATAGATTTCCTTCTGAGGCCAATTGCCACAGTGTATTACCTAATCTGGAACTGTTAGCACATAGCAGGCACTTCTGGTTTTCTGCACGTCAGGTCAGGGTAAGCTCCTGGGTACCCAGAATTCCTGGCTACTTTAATATGAATATACTTCCTGAGTTGATGGTTTAGGTTTCTTGTCCTGCGCCTTTTTTGTCTTGCTATTTACCTGTCACTGTGATGGGAGACCACGTTGGGGCAGAGGCAAGAAAGGGGGGTCAAGCTCTTATTCCATTTCCATACAGTATTTTCATATCAAAACACCCAGGCATTCTGGGTTATCCCATACCTATACTACGGAGGCAGAGTGAGCATATTAAAGTAAATAACACAGATATAATTTTATTACATGCTTCCCTTGCTCTGAGTTGTTGTTTTTGTGTTCTTTTATTGTATTTGCATTAAAAAAAATCACTATTTCTTTGGAGAGTAATTCTGAGTGACACAGTAATTTATATCTGAAGGAATGTGTTGGCTTGTTCTGACCCATGGTTATTAAGTGACCTATCCTTTTTTTATAAATGTGTTTATATTGATCCACATGAAACAAAGTCATTTTTTATTGCAACAGGATGGCAGCTTAGTACTGGCTGCAGTGAAAATAAATTCATCATAGTGTTTCTGGTGTCACCACATCAGCTGGGTTTTCCAGTTCTCATTATCCAAGTCTAACCCTTCAGTTACCCTCATAACAGACTGGGACTAAAAAGCAACATTGACATACTGTATACTGCTTAGCAGTTTTTCTTTGCAGAGTTTGGTGAGCTCAATATTTATATTGACATGTTTGTATTCAGGATAATCAATGTTTTGAGTTTTGGGATGTAAATTGGAACTCTGTGGATATATTATTAGCACACGCTTTAATTTTTTTTTTTTTTTTTTTTTTTAGTTTTGAAAGTGTAGAGGAGAGTTTTTCATTCTGAAACCCCACTGAGGAGATTTTTCCTCACTTCTCTACCTATGACACCCATGACATAGGGGGTGAAGGGAAATACCCCTAACAAGGACACTGAACACAGAAAAAACATGACAGAGGAGCTAAACCTTCCCTGCTATATCCAAAACAAAATAAAACTGTTTGGCTACAGTTTGATTTTAGGTGAGATTTAGCAGCCATAAAAAGCTCTGATGAACCCACATATGTTCTCAGAAACACCAAAAACACCAGAACTGCATTTTTGTCAGTTGGGGCCACATTGCAATTAGCCTACACCAAGGATTACATTAGTCTATATGGAGGCTATTTTACCTACATGACCCATTTTAATCTATCTTAAAGAATTAGCAGTCTATACTTCTGTCTGTAATTATTTTCTCCCTTTATTAAGTCTTACGAATATGAAATCTACACATAGGGAGGTATGCACTTTAACACATTTTGCATTCATTGTTGGCATTGATATTTACATGACATTTCAACATTAGTTTTTGGTTCAGGCACCTGATTCATCTTGTTGTAAGCTCATGTTGCATCTCTGCCACTTCCGTTCTTCTCAGGGAAACATGGCCATTTGCCCCAGTACATTCATTTTGGCCTTAATAATTTAAGCCACTGACCCAGAGAAAAGTATGCAAATGCAATATAAACTTTGCACCCGTACCGTCTGGTTTTCAGTTGCATAAGATGTGCCTTTGGATATGACACAAGCAGACAGAGCTTACACAGACATAGATCACTCGTCAATGTTTCATCACATTAGCACTCCTACACTTGTGATCCAACAGAGAAGGAATGGAAAAGCATCCATTGGATGCTGTGTGACCTGGAACAGGATGTTGTCCCTTCCCATTGGTACATAGGGACAGGCTAGCTGAAGCAATACATGAGAATTGGGGAACCCGTCAGCTATATAACTACAAACTGCAGCCACAATATTTGAATCCATTATTACAAGGTAGGTTGTGTACAATATACACAGAATATACTGTGACTGCAATAATACTTTAGTTTATTCACAGGAATAAAGGACATACCCCACAATCCCTGGGTCTCTCAGGCTAGCACTGGTCTAGGGGAGAGATAAATAATAATAGGATCTGGCACAAACACAAACAGGCAGAGCAATTAACAGAGATCATCATGCTGGAAGTGATGTATATTCATTATATTAGCACTCCCGAATGTGTGAGGCAATACAGCGGAAATAGCGAGGCACATTGTGTGACTCAGAACAAGAAGTTTCCTGTCTCTTTAGCAAATACAGTTAAGCAAGGTGAATGAATACATGGACAAAGGGAAATCTATCAGCAATGACACTTCAAACTTCAGCCAGAAATGACAAAGGGAATATAACGAACTACTAACACTAATACCTACTTAAAACAACAGGAACATTTGAAAAGGTAAAATGCCTTTAAGTCAGAAATCCTTTTCTGCATACTTGTTCTGGATTATTGATCAAGTATTGAAACTAAAATTTGAGCATGATAAGGTGAGTAACATTTGCTGAATGAGAAGTTAGCAATTGTAGCCCATTGTTTCTCTCTTGAAAGGTAATAGTGACAACCTTTAATTTAGATCTAGTTATACTAAAGTCTTAATGTGGTACTGCTTGCCACATTACTTTTCATTTATATCTACAGTAAATTTAATTAACACAACCATTACAAAGTTGACGATAATTTATACACAATTTTAGTAGCTAAATATTGTATTCATATGGAAATATACATCAGATTTAAGAAATTGTCAACTCTTAATAAAATAGGGACAAAGAGTTATGGTCTAGAAGAGAGATGGTGCAGAGATGCTGTAAAGATTTTGGTAAAAAAATCTTTTTACTTACACCATGCTGTTGTCACCACCAGAGATTATACCAGTCTAAACATTTCAATGTGATTCAGTGCAGAACTTTGGTGATTGCACTTGTGTTTTCTCAATCAAGAGCAAGTGGTCAGAGTTTAGACACAATTGCAATGACATCAATGAGTAGAACTCTATATTCATTATTCTATCAGTCTGCTAAAAAACCTAATCAGTTTTCCATTTTTATTGCTTTGCTTTTTGGACAAGTAATACAAAATATATGTCGACATTTAGGATTACATTCTGTTTGAAATTATTCTTCTGTCATAAATGCTTATATAAACTGAAATATTACATTGTAATCTCTGCATCTCTACCTGCATCACTAATAATGTTAATCTACAAAACAAGCTTTTTATAGTTTTATTTTCTGTACATATACAGTGGTGCTTATGAGCTTACATATCCTTTTTATGTAATTTATAAAATCTTAGTAATTTTTGCTTCATCAGTGCCACAAAACAGCCTGCTTATAATACGCAAAATGACACCAAAATAAGCCTGAAAGCTTCTGGAACAAAATCATTTATTAGAGTGATGAGATCAAAATTGAGCTTTATGGTTACAACCATAAACTGTTTGGAAAAGAGTAAACAAGAACTATGAAGAGAAGCACACCATCCCTTCTGTGAAACTGGGAGTCAGATCTCTCTGCTGTTTTTGAGGTTGTGTGAGCTGGGCACAGGAAATTTACTCCACGTTGATGGCAAGATGACTGCAGCATATTACCAGAAAATATTAAGAGGACATTTTGCATTCATCAATTCTGAAGCTGTGTATTGGGTGCATTGGACCTTCCAATATGTAAACTTCTGTAACCAAATCATGTGGTCAAAATTAAACTTCATGGCTGCAACCATATACTGTATGTTTAGAGAGGAGTCAATAAGGCCAATGAAGGGAAGTACACCAATCCCTATTGTGTTGCATGGAAGCTGATCCCTGCTGTTTTTGGGGTGTGTGAGCTACAGTGGCACAGGAAATTTACTTGAAATTGATGGCAAAATGAATGCACTATTAGAGGTCAATTTGCATTCATCAGTCCAGAAGTTGCACATGGAGCACATTAGACCATTGAGTACAACAATGATCCAAACATAATACCAAGTCCGCACTTCATTGTATTGCCCATCATAATCTTTTGACCTCAATATCATTCAGTTGCTGTGGGAAGATTTCAAACATGTGATTCATGCTAGACAACTAAAGAATTTGCGAAGAAAATTTTTATTTTTCATCCCTTATCTCTGGCTGGATTATTTTAGGAAAATTGTTTCACTGGTTAAACACCCTGGAGTCCAACCTGGAGTGCCCTCTGGCACCTAAAGGAGAAGTTCACCTTTAGTAACATGTTACACATGTTTTCAGGGTGTAACATGTGATATGTTACAAAAACACCTGCCTACAGACTCCCGCTCCTCCCCCATCCCTTACTGTGACAGTGGGCAGGGGATCCTCTACCTGCTCCTGCTGTCACAATTTAAAAACAGTGTGACTGTGTGAGACTCTGCCCACACAGCCGCATCATTCATTCACAGCTATCTTTGAATGAAGGAACTACACGTTGTGAAAGCTAGAACATTTTATTTGGGGAAAATTGTTTTGCTTGCTAACACCCTGGTGCCCAATTTTTGACCCAGTGACAACATGTGGCCGTTGATGTGCAGGTTTTAGGGTTCCTGCAGATAGTGGTCTTTTTTGGTGCTTACTCAGGCCTGTGAAAGAGTAAATTATATTACTGCGTCCATCCCTTTTCATGTTTTATGTGTTTTTCTTATATCATTTTTATGATATATCATGGATCTTGCTAAGAGAAATGTCAAATGTTGCATAAGAACATTGTAAGAGAGTTATAGGAAGCAAAAATGTGGATGAATTGATTGATGAAGGGGCTCTAATAGCAGTGATCTCTAGACGTTTTGTGTGATGGGTCTCCATGCTATGACTCTCTCCCAAAGCACGTCTCCAACAATTCCTATAGCATGCTTTCAGTCTCTGACCATCTCCTGTTATATGTCTTCAGCAAGCTTTCTGTAGCATTGCATTCATTGAACATCATGTGATATCAGATGACCTAAGTGTATCATGCCAAGGTGATGATGGGTGGGCTTGCTGGTATCCCTATACATCTAGCACATACACATAAATATTTTTTTTTAGTGCTCAATTTTAAACTAACCTCTGAAAGAGACTGTGAGCTTTAATCCCTTATCTAAGGTAGAAGTACCAATAGGATCTAATTTGAGTCTTCCCACATAGTCCTTTAATCATGTCCTCACAGCAGAGGGGTCAGAGCCGGAGTAGTGAAGCTGTTTGATTGTAGATCTAGTTGTTTTGGCAGTACTCCGGGTGAGTCATATTAAGATACAAAAGAAAAAACAAAGGCTGTTTCCAGGCACACTTGCATCATTGAACAGGCACACATTACTGTATTAGCATTTGCCATTTAACACAGCTATACTGAGCCGAGCCCTCTGTTTACCCGTTATACCCAGATGCAGCTTTTTTTTTTTGTTTTCTTTTGGAATATATTTTAGAATAAACATATTTGTTCTGCTTCTGGTAGAAGTAAGATGAAAAAAAATGGTAATATTTAGTGACATATTATATAATGGAAAATAAACAACAACATATGGAACATGTTATGGAAGAGACAGAAGGCTTTATAAAATGTTTCAGAAAATAACAACAACATACATGGACCAGAAATGTAGTTTTTGAAGTAAAAAAATCTGTTTGCATAAGTCTTGCAGGTATCAACCAATCTAAGAGTGTTATTTTAATTGCATGCTTTATTTATCCTCCATAGCCTGCACTTGTACCTTTCTTGTGCTTCTCCCTTTTTATGGGTCACCCCTTCATAGGCCATCGGGCCTTCACCAGTCCTTCAGACATTTCAATGCCCCCAAAAAACAACCAGGCATGAAGGCATACAACTCTTAATTTATACCACTTCTCTCTCATTACCTGCCTTTTCCCCAACACTACACTGTTTTCTACTGTTATAATATATAACTCCTGGGTCATAATTTTATTTGGGGACCAGAGAATCCTTTTTGTATGTAGCGTATTTCATAAACTATGCTCTGATGAAGAGGGTTCTTCCTCTGAAATGTGTTTGAGTGACATTCTGGTTTCTAGTGACACACATCTACACCCTGACTACCCTGTAACTCTGCCCCCTGTACACGGCCTTTCTTTGAGTACATTTTGCCATTGGTTTGTTATTAATAAATGTATGCAAGGTAATGCACCAGGCCTTTGCACCCTTTTGTTCTTGCTTATTTACTTTCATTAGCATTTCCCAATCTGAAGGAGACTACATTGGTGGAGCATACCAGTTGAGGATGAGAACAAATACGGAGTTGTTTTTGTGATGATGCCATGTTAATTCCCAAAATACCTAAGTGCTATGCTAGCGTGACTACACATGTAGCATATTTATTTCCCTAGTTGCTTATTGGTTTCTTAATTTATAGTAAGTGCTCCAGGAAGTGTTAGCAATTACTGCCACCCAGCACATGCATACATGCCTTATCATACATCCCTGAGACAAAGAAAGGTACATCACAAGTCATATGACAGCCATACAGAACACTGGTATGTGTCCCTGTGCTTGGTGGGCTGAGTGACAGCCAGTAAATATGACCACTCTGCATTTGTAATGATATAAAATACCTTCAACATAGCAGCTTTCTTAACATTATAATTGTGTGTTACTGTATTTGTGCTTAAAACAATAGCTCAACTCAGAGTCTATCTGCAGCTTAGGATAAGGAATGGTTTCCACTGCAGTACTGAAACCAGGGGCCTCCTATTTTAACATCTTGCAGGCGTTTTCTGCTCTCAGATCCCAAAGTTTTACTCCACTGAAAGGAAAATGAATGTTGGGGCACCCAGAGCTTGCTTCAAATGCTGCTTTATTGCAGTGAAAAATAAACAAAATTATAAAAAGCCTTCATTCTATGGCTTTTACTTGTGGATCATGGCACTTTTTCAAGGTGTCACAAATGCTTTTATGATTGTTGTTTCATATGGCTCAATGAACTCTAAAAGGAATAGGTCAGATGCCTAAAAAAAACGTTTCAAATAGTAGAATGTATCTGTCAATGCACAATGCTTTAAACTTTGCATGTACAGTATGTCCCTTGCAATAAAAATGTTGTTCTACCAAAGTTACTTACCTGCACAGGTTATAAGAGCCAAATTTGCTTCATCCAACATTTGGCACCTCTCTGCCTAAAACCCTCTCCATCTATCTGTGCATCTTCCCCCTTGTTAATAACATCACTTGGAAAATGGCATACAGAATGTCTATACATAGAAAGTATATAGGTTTTAGGTTCAGTTGGCTAAACAATAGGGCACTGGTCATAAGTGCTACTCTAAAATTATAGCACATAAACCTTGAGTTTGTGCACTGTGTGTACACTTGCAATTGGCTTTTAAGTGAAGAGGTATTGTGCATCAAGAATGTGTGTTTAATTTTGGTGTCCATATCCTAAGAGGCTAGCCTCCATTGATTTATAGTGCAGCACAGTAATTGAACCAGTGACGACATAAGGTAATTTGGGAAAGTAAAAAAAAAATAAGCTATTAGGGTAAGGACATAAAGAAGAAAACCACACAGCAAAACGACTGGGTAACGTTAATGCAAAATATAAATGTTTTCTTTGAGTATACTTTTCACTGTTATCTTCTTACTTTTATCACAGCCATACTTGTAGTAGAAACATTCCTTGATGACATTTAATGCTGACTATTTGTGTTTCCTTTTCGTTTCAGTTTTTATTCTTGTCTGAAGTTCTTCAGTGGAGAGCACAAACAACTCCTGATCATGTCCTTTATACTTTGTTAAACTCAAGGGTAAGATCTGCTGTGTGTTTTTTTGTATTTCTTTATGTGTCACCAACTCTTTTGCTTTTGCATTGGAGCCATTTCATTCAAATGACAGCATTTTACACCTTAAAGCATATTCTAACATTCCTACTAACAGAAAACAATTTAAGATATACTTCTTCTGCATGGAGCTGGCTGTTTATATCAGTTGTGTCCTTTGATAAAGATAGAAGAGAGGGGCACGGTCTGTTTCTTGCTGGAATGTGTGGCCATCAGGGACAACAAAAGCTCTGAGGAGCATGATTGTGTCTAGCACATTTGGAATGTATTAGCTACGTTCGATTTCTTATTATAGATCTGTGGAATAAATGTGATTTTTCAGGGGTTCTGTCATATTACTCTTCAAATGATGTATTTTATGTTATGTCCAAAATGGTGGTTGAAAGTAGGTAGGTGGTCTTTTTCCTGTTCCGTGGGGGCCCCCTCAAGATACCAACGGTCACACCTGGACACAGCTACGAGATCTCGGAAAGTGAATGCACTCAAATCACCTCAGTTGCGATTGCAAACACTTCAGTTTTATTGGCATAACATCAGGGTTATTATACTGTAGTCTTTAGGCAAACACACCCTCAGACTTTCCAATCAAATACATGTACATTATTTTACCTTAACTCAACAATTATTTGTATGAGGTTTGCATTTTCACTCTTCTGCTTTATCTATCATACCATATCTGCTCTATCGCCCAGGCCATGGCTGTAATCTGACCCAACGCCCAGACCATGGCTCTAATCTGACCTAACACCCAAGTTGTGGTTAAAACTTTTCAGAAGTGAGAGTAAACCTTATCTGCTTTTTTGTAAGGGTTTGCAAAAACACTCATTTCTACATGAAGCTGAGATAGACAGTTTTGTTAGTGTGCACACATCTCATATACATATATTAAACTAGCATCTTGTATTAGTGTATACAAAATGGATTCAGCTATATTCCATTTAATCCTTTCAGTCCCCTCTTTTATCACATAGTGATAACACTTTTCATTGACTTACTCTCCCTATCGTCTCAATCCCATGCATTTCCTCATATTGTTGAAGCAAAAACATTTCCTCCCTTTCCTTCTCATTAATTCTCATTTTGATACACATGATCATTCAGTTGTGATGAGGTAACCCCTCACCCATCCTGAACTCCCAGAGGGTTTCTGAACCACTGGCTCCTTTCTATCATATGAAATCTCCAATAGAAACCATAGTGGGACAATAATAACAGTCACTATTGTTAAGATAATAATCAAGTTCATCCAGTCCTCATGGGGATCCAATAGGTTGGGTAGCAAAGTTCTTGGCTCCTTCTTCTGTTGGTTGATCAGCTTGCTTGTGTCTCTCATCTTGGGAAATCCTTTTGACTCTTGATGCATGGATCCAGGTGCCTGATCCTTCAGTAAGAACAGCTGTACGTGTAATGGCCACGATCACTGTAGGTTCTCCAAACTGTGGGTCTCACCCTTGGATCCAGTCTTCGGATCACCACTTGATCACCTACCTCGAAGGGGTGGGTTGGTTGATCTGCAGGTAAAAGAAAAAAACAGCAGCATCATTTTGCTCACTATTCAACTTTTCACACAATGCTTTTACATATTCTGCCTGTATCACCTCTAAATCTCCTTTCTACCACAGAGGGGGTTGCTGTCTAGTCCAAGGGGTAGGGAATGGTCTGCCCATTAGTATCTCAAAGGGAGACAACTTACTCCGTTTATGAGGTGTCATCCTTATTTCAGCTAGTATAGCAGGTAACACAGCTGGCCAATTCTTCAGAGTCCCTCCTGTGGCTTTCACTAATTTATCCTTAAGTGTTCTATTCATTCTTTCCACTACTCCAGAACTCTGAGGGTGATAAGGAATATGGAGCTTCCATTGAATACTCAAAGCCTTTGAGACTCCCTGAGTCACTGCTGCAGTAAAAGCTGGTCCCTGATCGCTTTCTATGAACAAAGGACAACCCCATCTAGGGATGATTTCCTTACACAAAACCTTGACCACTGTCTCTGCTGTTTCATTCCTACATGGGAAAGCTTCTGGCCAACCTGAAAATCTGTCTACTACCACCAACAACTTATCTCCTTCTTTTGATTTAGGGAGATGTGTAAAATCTATCTGTAGATGTGTGAATGGTGCCTCAGGGGGTGTTAAATGTTCATGTTTCCCATGCTGGCCATGCCCAGGGTTGTTTTGTAAACAAGTAAGGCACCTTCCCAATGTTTCCTCCACCAAATCATGGAGAAACCATACACAAAACTGTTTGCGCATTTCTTTCTCCACTAACTATTTTCCCTTATGACCTACACCATGAAATTTTGAATGAATAATACAGCAGCTGCCTGTGGAAGTCCTACAATCCCCTCTTTTGACATAAGACCATGTTTGTCTTGTGTCAAACCTCTGCTAGCCCAAAAATCAACTTCACTCTCAGAGGCTTGTGCCTGCAGTGTACCTAAAAGCTCATTTGACAGTAGGGATGGAGTGGACAACATTACCATAGATAGATCTGCTCGATTATGCAGTTGCCCTGCAGTTTTTGCAGCTGCATCTGCCATAGCATTGCCTTTTGTGACTGGGTCTTTGGCATTAGTATGTGCCCGCACTTTAATGACCGCTATCCTTCTTGGAAGTTGGAGTGCAGCAAGCAAATCCTGGATCAAAGAATGATGGGATATTGACTTGCCATCGGCCGTAGTGAAACCACGGCGTTGCCAAATACGGCCAAAATCATGTACAACCCCAAAGACATACTTAGAATCTGTGTATATGTTAACATCTCGATCTTGATAAAGAGTGCAAGCTCGTGTTAGGGCCACTAATTCAGCTGCTTGTGCACTGGGGTAGGGGATGGAACCTGTTTCAATAATAAGAGGTGGTTCTACTACTGCATAGCCTGTGATGTATGTAGCATCACTAGGGCGTGTACAAGATCCATCGACAAACACATCAGGGGCTCCAGGAATCGGAGTCTCCAATATCTAGTCGCGGAGAAGTGTCAGCTTGGATAACATCCAGGCAATTGTGTTCCTCCTGCAATTCTGGTGACCTTGTGTGTTGTGAAGATTAAGCAGGGAGGACAATAAAAGAGATGGTCCTGATGTAGATGGGCTGTATTTAACTGTGAGATTATTGGTGGATGTCAAAATTACTTCACATCCCGCCAGGCGTTGTGCTGACATGTGTTGAGTGTTAATGTTTTTCAGTACATGTAGGACATGATGAGATGTGTGTAATATCAATGGGTTTCCCAAAACTATGATAGATGCCATTTCCACAGCCAAGGCACACACAGACAAAGCTTGGAGACACCCCGGCATGCCCTGGACCGGGATGGGCATTGTTTTTGATAAATATGCTACCGGCCTCATGGCACCTCCGTGCTCTTGAGCTAGTACTGCAGCCATGGTTTTACATGCAGATTGACAATACAAATGAAAAGATTTAGTATAATCCGGTAACCCTAATGCGGGAGACGAGACCAGTGCTGTCTTCAAATATTCAAATGCCTGCACCAATGGCAGCGTCCATTCAATACGGTCTGGTTGATCTTTCAGTGTCACTTGGCGTAATACATTGTCATAATAAGAACAGTCAGGAATCCACTGTCTACAATAGTTTACCATACCTAAGAAGGATTGCATCTGAACCTTAGTTTCTGGTTTTGGTTGTTGACATATTGCTGCCACTCTCCTTGGGCTCAGCCCCCTCTGGCCCTCAGACAATACAAATCCTAGGTACTCAACTTGTGGTGCCACAAACTGCATCTTTTTGCGAGAGACTTTCTGTCCCTGATCAGCCAGAAACCGTAACAATGATAATGAATCAGCCTGACACGCCTTCTCGCTCACAGAACTAATCAGTAAATCATCCACGTATTGGATAAGTACTGAACCATGGGTGGGTACCCAGTCATTGAGCATGGATCTACTGGCCATGGTATATGCTACATAGCCCTGAGGGAGACGTGAGCCTCTCCCCGTAAACAATAGTCTCCGGGTCCTGAGAGAGACTGGGTGGCCAGGTTAGCCTCTCCCCTTGAAACTACAGGGGCAAAAATAAACAATACCTGATCTTGTCTCCGGGTCAACTGGGAGGGACACTAAAATCCTCCAAAAAATGCATTTTTTCTTTGGACAGATAAACATTACTGTAAAATGTGTGGCGTTGGCAGCTTATTTAAATCATGATATAGCATTTTACCAAAGTCCGTGATAGACATCACTGGGACTAACAAAGCGGCAATGCACAGGACAATGCGGGAGCACATGAAATTTATGATACCAGACCTGTCCATCTTTTGCTTGTACCGGGAGGGGAGGTGTAATGCAAGTGGGGGTTTCCTTTCCCTCGATCCCTATTGATCGAGTGTTACTCGAGTAAATATCCAGGGGGGTCCCATACTTACAATGCCATTGTTTTAAAAAATTCCTTATTTAATGTTGAGGCAGTAGCCCCTGTATCTACTAAAAAAGTGCAGGGGACTTCACCTACTGTAAGTGTAATCATGGGATTTTCCAAAAATGAATCGGAACAACTAAAAGATGGAAACAAAGGCACTGTTGAAGAAGCATGCTCGAGCGGACCCTGGCCTCCCTATTTATTTTTATTAGTCCAGTCCACATTGTACCTGGGGCGTTGTCCCTGAGGATACTGTTGTTGACCTCGCCTATTGGCGGCTGCCTGTTCCCTTCTCACCTCATCAAACTGTCTCTCCTCATCCGTGGGCTCCCTTCTCTGAAACTGTACTCCTGGAGCAGTACACTCCCGACGGAAGTGCCCCTCCTCCCCACAATTGTAACATCGTAGGACCCGTTTAAAGGGCCGGCGCTGGTACTGACGCCGCTCCCTGGGTCTGTCCTCCCAGTCATCCCTATGTGCCAGTGCCTGTACTTGGGGCTTCTTTGTTCCCTTCTCAAAAATTCCTGGCTGCATCTTTACTAAGAATCCATTTTTCAAAATCTAGTGCAGATTTATCTTCCCAACCATCATACAATTGTCTAATTGCTAAACTAACATATGGTAGTGCCCCATTCATCCAAGATTGGATAAAAAGTGATCCACACTCTCTACCAATCAGATCCATTCCCCCTTCCTCCAACCAGACTTTCTTAAACCTTTTAATAAAGTCAGTAGCAGTCTCCGTGACATTTTGTCGACATGCTACTATTGGAGCAAATGATTTCCTTTGTTTGTATAGCCTAAACAATTCACATGTCACCTCCTCCCATGCAGCATCCCATTGTGCTCTAGTACGTAAAGGATACTGATCTACTCCCTGTGATGGGTCCCACTTTTTGTAACCAGCTCCATCTTCATTATTAAAAATTTTACAATTTTCCCATTCAAACTCTCCTGTAATATCTCCCAATACTTTCTCAATTATCAACCTGCAATCTTCCATTGTATAGTTCCTTCCTACACATGTCCTTTTTTTAGCCAGGATACCGCCCCACCCGGGGATTTCCTTGGATTAGGGCATCCCTGTACTATAGCATCCAGCTCCTTGGGATCTATTGCCTTTAAAATCAGCTGCTCCCCAATCATCATGAATGGAAAGGCTGAATTCATCATATCTAGCTCAGCTGTCTCATCTTTAACTTCCCCCTTGTTACTTTCTGCTGACCTAAGAATTCTATCACTCTTTTCTACCTTCTTTGTCTTCCTCTTTACTTTCCCTTTACCCCTCTCAGTATCCCTTTGACTAACACTCCCAGTTTCCCCATCTGAGCTAGATTCTTCTGACTCCCCTGTATATATCTGGGAAGCAGCAATAAGAACCTCTTCATCTTCATCTACTTGTTTTACCTGTGGGAGTGCTGGGTATAATGGGGCTGCATGTGGAGCTGTAGGGGCAGGACGTGCCTCGCTGTGTTTGTATGGCGGTGGTGGTGTGAAATCATTTGCTACAATTAGAGTCTTATAGCCTGGTGCATACTTCAACCAATTCTTACCCCCTTCATACATATAATTCTTGTCCCAATCTGGATTTCCAGTCCCCCAGATACCTACCTGAGGCTGTTCATGCAAACACATTCCTCTAATCATATCCATACACATAGTGTCATTTCCCCCTTCACAAGGAAAACTAGCTCCACCCAGTCTTTTTGACCATCCCACTAAATTATCCACCAGGGATTAACATAATAAATATCATAAGGGGATACCCTTGCTACATATTCTTTACAAGTTTCATTTAAGGTAGATGTGTTCTTTCCCCTCAGCTTTCTAGTTTTTTCTAAACAACTTAATCAACTTTTGTGGCGGCACATGACGAGGTCCTTCCTCCTTACCTGAGGAATTACCCATAGCAGTAAATTAGTAAACTAACAAACAAGACAAAAAAAAAAAAACAACAATAACACACTTTTTACAAATAATACAAAGTGCTGTGCCAGGTGTGTCCTGGTATTATTCCCCGAGCCGAGAATCCCTTAGTCTCGCTCCTAAAACTCCAACCACCAAATTTCCCTGAAGTTCAGAATAATTACCTCGGTAAAGAAAGCATTAAAAAATAAAACTCTCACTTACCTTGGCAATTATCCCACTTTCTGACACCACTGAAAGTAGGTAGGTGGTCTTTTTCCTGTTCCGTGGGGGGCCCCCTCAAGATACCAACGGTCACACCTGGACACAGCTACGAGATCTCGGAAAGTGAATGCACTCAAATCACCTCAGTTGCGATTGCAAACACTTCAGTTTTATTGGCATAACATCAGGGTTATTATACTGTAGTCTTTAGGCAAACACACCCTCAGACTTTCCAATCAAATACATGTACATTATTTTACCTTAACTCAACAATTATTTGTATGAGGTTTGCATTTTCACTCTTCTGCTTTATCTATCATACCATATCTGCTCTATCGCCCAGGCCATGGCTGTAATCTGACCCAACGCCCAGACCATGGCTCTAATCTGACCTAACACCCAAGTTGTGGTTAAAACTTTTCAGAAGTGAGAGTAAACCTTATCTGCTTTTTTGTAAGGGTTTGCAAAAACACTCATTTCTACATGAAGCTGAGATAGACAGTTTTGTTAGTGTGCACACATCTCATATACATATATTAAACTAGCATCTTGTATTAGTGTATACAAAATGGATTCAGCTATATTCCATTTAATCCTTTCAGTGGTGGCCACTGACAGAATTATTATATGCTATGTTCTTAATAATTATTCATATTTACTCTCTAAACTATTAAATAAGGAACACTATCACATTCTATAATGGCTCACTTTACTTCAGCTCTATAAGGAGAATAATTGATCATAGGGAGAAAACCATAGACCTATGGTCAGGTTAATCAAATAAGCAGAAATGTAGGAAAACGTAAATGTTTGGGAACAATAGCCCACTCTCTGACATGTAGCCAACTACATAAACGAGCTGAGAAGATTGCTGTGATGCTAATGGAAAGGGGACATTTACAAGATGGAGATCATGTGGCTCTTGTGTACCCTCCAGGTGCAGTTTCTTTTATTTTTTTTTTCTGGAGAAAATATACATTTTTTTTTTACTATGTGTTTAATGTATTAGGCTAGTTTTACACTTATGAAAGTGTGCAAATGCATGCAAATTGCACACATTTCTGAACCCAAAGGCTCAAATTAATGTGCTGCTGTGTCCGCACAAAATGCAGTACACAAGAATCGCATTTGTGAACCTTACCTTATGCCTCAAAATGGATTATCAGTGGCAGACCATCTGTGGCGTGGCAGAATGGACATCTATCTAAGGCTTCTAATTCCAAGGAGCCCATGGGGCAAATTGGTTACATGCAACAAGTTTATATTTAATGGCAGTTCAGCAATATGAATGGAAAGTAGAGAGACGGAAACTCGTATACCCGAATGTGATGACTTTATTTATGTAGGTAGAGTACAAAATATACAAGGACTTACATATTTCAGCCTGTGGCTTTGACCATAGCCATAGCTATGACTATGGCAACAGGCACAAATTCCTACTCACCTGAATCTTAACATTGTGTTGCATGTGATGCTTAGAGCCTCAGACCTTGATACCATGAGTACTTGCATTTTATTCTTCTGTAGGTAAATTATACAGCTGCTGGCTTCTTTCCTCATCCACCAGCCCAGCCACTGCCTGTCAGCCTTTAGCACCGAGCTGAGGAAAAAGCTTTGAAACTCATCTTTGGCTCTGTGTTACAGGTCTGACAGGTGAAGACAGAAGACAACACAATTAACATAAGTCAACTTGATTTAAAATTTCAGCTGGTATGCAAAGGGTATTTGGGATTTTATATAAGGATCGTTAGTGACTGCATATTGTCCAATTTAAACATGTGTAACATTGTTTCAGTCCGTTTGAGTTAAATGGACATTCCTACGGTGTAGAGTACTTTTTTAACTCCTAAAGAATCAGATCTAAAAACTGGAGATCTCTGTGATCCAGGTTGCCTGATCCAGCCCCAACACATGTAGAGGAAACACACAAGAGTCTAATTTTTTGTGCGTCACTGCTTGTCACTGACTCCTATACATGTCTTAATTGTAATGAATAAATATTGTAGGCTTCTATAAAGGACTTAATAACTAATCACCAAATACAGAAAAAATAAATAAAACCAAACCAAATTAAAAAAAAACAAATAAAGTTCACGGTCTACAAGGTATTACTTCCCCCCCTAAGAAGCTATAATATAAACAAAAACCAAGCGTCCAAATTGGTGTTAAATCAGAAAGTCCTTAAACATATTCCGTAGAAATTCATATTAGAAGTCCTTCATTCTTTCAAGGTTCGAACCTTTCAGCGAAGTAAGCTGAAGGGTCTTCACCTCCAAAAACTCATATACACTGATAATAGTGATAGTGGGTACTAGGTCTGCTAGCAAAAAAGAACAGACCTGATGAAAAACTGAAAGTTCAGAGACAGCAGGAGTCTTGTCAGCAGTCATAATGTCCACCCACTTCTGTCTATTGTCAATTAAAGGTGAGCTGTCCCGCTGGAGAACTGAGCTCTCAAATACAGCCATCAGGCTCCAACCTCGTAACAGTAAATCATAATAGAAGTTCTGTTGGTGATCATAGGGTCCGCCCAATGCTGCCCACTCTCAATCAAGGGGACCTGATGGGGAATTGTTCTCTTGAAGACACCCATCAGGCTCCACCCTCCATCCATTTGGTATGAGGCAGACCTAAAGGGGACCTTCCTTTGCTACCTCTTTAATGAAAAACTAACCACTAAGCCTTTTTAACCATGTCTCACAGGTAGGGAGGGGAATAGAACTAGGCAGGTGCAGATTTGGTAACATATTGAAAAATACAAACCACAGGGAGAATTAAAACGCCAGGGACATATAGTTACTGGGGACCATTCAAAATAGGGACTGTCCCTGTCAAACAGAAACAGATGGTAACTTTATGTTAAAGCTAATATAGGTTTTTGCTGGCTCTGTTTACTAAAATGACCTTTGATCCCTTGGTTACAGGCTGATTTTTTTTTACTTTTGTTATGCAGGAATAGACCTGATTGCAGCATTTTATGGCTGTCTGTATGCAGGCTGTGTGCCAATAACTGTGCGACCTCCACATCCACAGAATATTGCAACAACGCTGCCAACGGTGTGAAGATGATAGTAGAGGTGAGACTTGGATCTTTTGTGACAATGTGTTCTGATAATTTTTTTTAGAATAAAGAAAAGTATTTCCATGAAACGTGGGACGTTGGAGCCTCATGCACACAGGACATTTTGTCATCCCTACTAGAAGCCTTTCCTCCTAGCAGCAGTGTTTTGGCAGAATAAACACCTGATGCTTGTAAAAGTGTGTCATGTGTTTAGGCGCATCAAGCACGTGGGCATTAGTACATTTCATTGGCCAGAATAATAGTTTATTCTGGTCATTGAAATTAATTTTCTGTCTCTAAACTCCTATAAAAGCCTATGTGTGCACGGATACACATGCTAACATGCGGGGGCATTTAGAGGCAGAAAAAAAACAAACCACCAGACGCCCTTAGGAGCAGCTAAAGAAATGTCCAGTGTGCATGAGGCCTAATTCTCTGCACATATACACTAGTTTTTCATCAGGCTCGATTGTGTACTCAAATATACAGTACTTGTATGTATGTCATGATTCATTGATATCATACTGTAAGTACACCTTGTTGTGAAGTGGCTAAATGTCTTCAATGTAGCCTAACAGAAAATATTTAAAATTCCCAATAAAATCTCCATAAGATAAATATTCCTACTGGAAGAACTCTAAAGTAATGGATTCTAGGCTATATAAAATGCAGTGGGAGTGTGGCGTGGAAAGGGTTTTCTTGACAGCAGAAACAGAAGTGAAAGGTTAGTCATGGCCTGCTGACCAGCCACCATCATTCAGAGTACACACATTACACCCTAACAGGTCCAGTTTCTGCAAAGCTGTTGTCATGGCTCAAAACCAGTATCTTGGTACTTTGTTTAAACCCTCATTGAACATGGCCATTCTTTAGTACACATTTATTTGTGCACAATCTGTATGTCACTGCCTGGTCTTTCTACAACTGGCTCATATGATTGGTAGTTGAGGGAAGAAGTTTCTAACATGCTGATGCCCTTCACCCATGATTTCCCTTAAACTCTGCTGATGAGCACTTCTGCAGCACAGGCAGTTTATCTAACCTTGACTGACACAATGAAGAATTTTAGAGGTTCAGTATAAAAATGCAGATTAAAATGAAAAGTGGACTTACCAAAAGCACTCAGACAAATGATTACTTTGATTTTCTACCTTATGCAGAATATATACAGTCTATATGAAGTAGATTCTGGAATGCGATTGTTTGCAGGGGTATCACTTTAACGTGTTCTTTCCTCTGGTTCCGTAATCCTTGTTACGAACATTTCATTATCTAACAATAAAGTGGAACCATTCACTTTAAATTAAACAGATCCTAATTGCCTTTTAAACAACGTGAAGTTCACTTTCCTTTTTTGTAAAATTAATTTCCATATTCATCTTTGATTTCATGCTCATTAATTACATAAACTTTTAGTAATGCGCATCAAAAATGTTGAGAACAGAAGCTACGTTAATTATAACAATTTATCCCACACTTCTCATGTGTAGTACAAGTTTATTGGGAATTCAGCAAATATTTCCTGGTCTTTGATACATAATTTTTGCTATTTCCTGTACGCTTTTCTGAGGTTAGTGGACATTTTAACCACTTGACCTCCAGAAGGTTTTACCCCCTTCATGACCAAAGACTTTTTTTGCTATTCAGCATTGTGCTACTTTAACTGGCAATTGGTCGGTTATGAAACTCTGTACCCAAAATAAATATATAATTTGTTTTCACAAAAATAGAGCTTTCTTTTGGTGGTATATGATCAGCACTGGCTTTTTTATTTTTTATTAGATAACCGAGAAAAGACCATAACCAAAAAAACTTATCTAATAAAATCAAATGTCTTCATAAATTTTGGCTAAATTTTATTCTGTCTTTGCTAAATACCAAATTGCTTTTTTTGAGGATGCTATACTACTGGGGACACTTGTATAGTTCTGATTACGATCAAGATACTGATTTGTACAGGTGGAAACTAGTAACAGGGTTGATCAGCGACTTAAGACGTGACTGTTCAAGTGTGGCGGGCAATCTGATACTACTGACACTGGCTAGGAGGGACACCAACTGACTGACACTGACATTGCTACTGGCACTAATACAGTGTTCAGTGATAATACTGTACACTGTACTAATCACACTGACTGTGTGACAGGAGTGATCAGGAGGACAATCAAGCGGTTAAATGTGTGCCTAACAAGTGTATGCAATTGTATGTGTGCTGCTTTTACTCACAGATCTGGCTGGGTCTCTTCTTGCTTTCAGTTCTGAATAGTAACTGAAAGCAGGGAGAAATCCAGCCAGAACCTGGTTGTTGTGTTTACAAATACAAAGATCTCTGTGCTGTGATTGGCCACAGCTGCAACCTGCTGGCAAATTTGTGCTGTGTCCAATCACAGAACACATCAACAGGGGGCACGCGCATCTAAATCAGGAAGTTCAATTGTACAGCTGGCGGTCGGCAAGTGGTTAAAAGGATTTTCCACTTTTTTACTAAGTTTTTCTGGCCATTGCACTCCTACATAAAGTTTGTCTTCTCTCATACCCTCTCTTTAGCAACAGTGTGAACATATGCATCATTCACATTTTCTGGCTAGGATCAGTCTCTTAAAATATTATAGCACTTATGCAGTAAGTCCATTATATTTAAAGATATAACCAGGGGCGGCCTGACAACTCATGGGGCCCCTGGGCAATAGGGGATCATGGGGCCCCTGTGTCCTTGCCCAAACTCAAAAAAGCCTATGAAAAAGGTACCAGGGGCATCTCATGGGGCCCCCTACTGACTCCGGGCCCTCGTGCAATGCCCGAGTTTCCAAATGGTCAGTTCGCCCCTGGATATAACACAATACCATTTTCTCTTCTATTCCCCTCTGCGATTACAGAGTTTGGGTTTGCTGGGTGGCAGTAGCCCTGACATTTGCAGAAGGGACCCTTCTAGAAAGTAGAAAAGAGTTTGGCTACTGCATAAAGCACCACTGTCCTTTGTGCTAACATTCATAACATTTCTACTGTGATATTTAATACATTAATGCTATAGATTGCTCAGTGTGTGAAATCTTTGGTGTTGACAGTGGCATTACTCACCATAATAAGAAATACATCACACATTATTTTATTATTATGGTGTATACAGTAGCTTTATTTCAGATGTATGAAGACTTCACAGGGTACAAGTGATGGAAATAAGGCAATTATCGATCAGTGGTACAGTTTTGTCCTGGGTAACAAGTTAATTATACAGCAAGGATAAAGCAGTGAGAACGTGCATAGCAGTGTATATGATTGTTGAGCCAGGCAACCAAGAAGTACAAGGTTCATTCTCTGTTCGTATTTTTACCACTTGTTCCTCACTTTTTCCCCCTAGGGTATGAACAAACTGATTAAATTCTACAACCTGTTAATAGAATTTTAGTAGAGTATAATAGAGTCACAAGACTCTCTGAAGCTTAGAAAGTATGCAGCTTTCTCTGCTCCTAATTAGTTGATTTGACAGTTCTAAACACATTGCATATAAAGCATGTCCCATCCTGTCTTATTTGGAGCTGGAATTATGACTGTAGCTGTAGCCTTACACTGACAGTGAAGATTACTTCCAGCAGTTTGGAGCAGAATGCTGCCAATGCCACAGAAGTCTTGTGCGAAATATAACAAGGACCACTCGTAAATATTGATAAATGTAAGATTACCCTGTTAGTGCTCCTGTACACAGGGCAATGGAAAACTCTTCTGAAAGATGCAAACTGACTGCTGGAAAACATAGGTAAAAAAAACGTCAGTTTAGCCGGGTTTGCATACCGCATTTATGTGCGTTTGCGTTTAGAAGTGTTTTTAACCACTTGCCGTCCAGCCGCTGTATATAAACGGCGGGACGGTGGCAGTCCAGGGATGGGTTGCCGTTTATAAATGGCGCCCGCCATTATGGACTGTGCACGCTCCCTGGGAGCGTGCAGCACCGCGATCCGGTGCCCGCTGTGTCGTCCGGACACAGTGGAACACCGATCGTCATACGGGACCTCTGTGTGAGGTCTTGATCATGTGATCACTGATTGGCCAATCCGTGATCACACGCAGAGTAGTAAGCAAGATGTCAATTCTCACACCATTGCTTACTACGTGTGAAATCTGTGAATGATCACAGAGGTCACATGGTACAAGGCTATTCACAACAGCCTTGTACCATGTGGAAAGCTGTGACCAATCACAGCTCACACAGTAGTTCTCAATGACTGCAAGAATGCAGCCAGAGAAAAGGAGAAATTATTGTTTTGCAGCCTTTATGGGTGTAAAAGCAATCTGTGTAAAAAAAAAAAAAAAAAAAAAATATTCATCACCCCCCACAAGTACCATGTCACCATGGTGACACTGTACTGCTAGGGTGACAGTATGTAGAAAAAAAAACATAAAAATAATAATATAAAAAATTAAAATAAAAATGTAAACTTTTTTTTAAAAAAATCATAATTTTTGGTTATAAACTAATTTGGGTTATTTTTTTTTTTTTACTAAAAATATAACTGAATAAAGTTTGGCCAAGATTTATGATGAAATATTTATTTAAAAAATTGTATAAGAAAAACACTTTTTTTTCAAAATTTTTGGACTGATGTGAACCTAGCCTTAGACCTGTCAGCAGACTTAACCACTGATCGGTTCTAACTTGCATTTTGTGTTTTAATTTGGAAAATAAATTATTTGCTATGACTTTAACAACTTAACTGTTGTGTTGCACAACAGATGAAATGTACTAAGTTTTTTCAAAATGTTCTCTTCTTTTTTTTTTTTTTTTATGCTTCCACTGCCCTTTTGTTTTTTTATTCAATTCATGCACCCGAGGCTACTGCTGCCTCCTTAGATTGTTCCAGCTCCCCACAGGGGACAGCATCGCCCACTTTGGGAAGCACTGCTTTAGAGGGCTATATGTACATTGAACAGACCAATAATGTATATTTATGTGCAGCCTGAACTGGAAATCGCACCTTTTATCCTCTAAGTAAGCACTCTGGCTCAAAACACTCATTTTCTGACAGCTCTTTAAACTGCCATGGAGCAGGAAGGATTAGTCGCCCTATAACAGACTTGCTAGCATGTTGTTCTCATGCAAATACATGTCAGTGTAAGTGTAACTTGATGTTTTTCCCACATTTTCAAAGTTCTTATACACACGCCTCACTGATAGCAAATCCAGACTTCCTAAGCTTAGTGTTTATGACACAGTCATAACAGAGCACATTATTTTGGATTGTCCACGGAACGCGTGTTAAAGAAGAATATTGATATTGCAGAACCTCTCTGGGAAATACAATTCTTTGGAGAGCTGAGCTGGGATAGAAGAATAGATAATGAATTACTTGTGTTTTTGTCCCTATTGTCCCTTAGGTGAGTCGTTCTGCCTGTTTAATGACGACACAACTCATTTGTAAACTCCTAAGGTCAAGAGAGGCAGCAGCAGCCGTAGATGTTAGAACGTGGCCTCCGATCCTGGACACTGGTGAGAACTTTCTTTATGTCTGTAGGAACATAGTGAGGAAGGTTTAAGATGTGCACCCAAAATACCATCTTAATCCTTCAATATTTTCTAAATTTGCTGATATCCTCTTAATCCTTCAATATTTTCTAAAATTGCTGATACCCTCTTAATCCTTCAATATTTTCTAAATTTGCTGATACCCTCTTTGCATTTACATTTGTGCTTCCACTGTTAGGATAGTAGGTGATACATTAATATTACAATATTCTCATATTTAAACCTGAAATCAAGGCTAATTAGGCGATGACATACATATACAGTCATGGCCGAAATTGTTGGCACCCTTGATATTTCTCCAGGAAATCATGTATTTCTCACGAAACGTATTGCATTAACACATGTTTTGCTATACACATGTTTATTCCCTTTGTGTGTATTGGGACAAAACAAAAAAAGGGAGGAAAGAAAGCAAATTCGACATAATGTCACACAAACCTCCAAAAATGGGCTGGACAAAAGTATTGGCACCCTTTCACAACTGCGGATAAATAAGAATGTTACAAGCATGTGATGCTCCTGTAAACTCACCTGGGGCAAGTAACAGGTGTGGGCAATATAGAAATCACACCTGAAAGCAGATAAAAAGGAGAGACGTTCACTTAACCTTTGCATTGTGTGTCTGTCTGTGCCACACTAAGCATGGACAACAGAAAGAGGAGACGAGAACTGTCTGAGGACCTGAGAACCAAAATTGTGGCAAAATATCAACAATCTCAAGGTTACAAGTCCATCTCCAGAGAACTAGATTTGCCTTTGTCCACAGTGCGCAACATTATCAAGAAGTTTGCAACCCATGGCACTGTAGCTAATCTCCCTGGTCGTGGACGGATGAGGAAAATTGATGAAAGATTGCAACGCAGAATAGTCCGGATGGTGGATAAGCAGCCCCAAACATGTTCCAAAGACATTCAAGCTGTCCTGCAGGCTCAGGGAGCATCAGTGTCAGCGCGAACTATCCGTCGACATTTAAATGAAATGAAACGCTATGGCAGGAGACCCAGGAGGACCCCACTGCTGACACAGAGACATAAAAAAGCAAGACTACAGTTTGCCAAAATGTACTTGAGTAAGCCAAAAGCCTTCTGGGAAAACGTCTTGTGGACAGATGAGACCAAGATAGAGCTTTTCGGTAAAGCACATCATTCTACTGTTTACCGAAAACGGAATGAGGCCTACAAAGAACAAAACACAGTACCTACGGTAAAATATGGTGGAGGTTCAATGATGTTTTGGGTTGTTTTGCTGCCTCTGGCACTGGGTGCCTTGACTGTGTGCAAGGCATCATGAAATCTGAGGATTACCAAAGGATTTTGGGTCGCACTGTAGGGCCCAGTGTCAGAAAGCTGGGTTTGCGTCCAAGATCCTGGGTCTTCCAGCAGGACAATGACCCCAAACATACGTCAAAAAGCACTCAGAAATGGATGGCAAAGAAGCGCTGGAGAGTTCTGAAGTGGCCAGCAATGAGCCCAGATCTAAATCCCATTGAACACCTGTGGAGAGATCTTAAAATTGCTGTTGGGAAAAGGTGTCCTTCCAATAAGAGAGACCTGGAGCTGTTTGCAAAGGAAGAGTGGTCCAAAATTCCGGGTGAGAGGTGTCAGAAGCTTATTGATGGTTATAGGAAGCGACTGATTTCAGTTATGTTTTCCAAAGGGTGTGCAACCAAATATTAAGTTAAGGGTGCCAATACTTTTGTCCAGCCCATTTTTGGGGTTTTGTGTGACATTATGTCATATTTGCTTTTCTGCCTCTGTTTTATATTTGTTCCAATACATACAAAGGGAATAAACATGTGTATAGCAAAACATGTGTTAATGCAATACCTTTTTTGTGTGAAATACTTGATTTTCAGGAAAAATATCAAGGGTGCCAACAATTTCGGCCATGACTGTAAGGGAAATGTTTTACCTGCCACAGAATTCCTATTTCTGTCCATCTAGTCCTGGGACTAACATAGCTCTTCCAGACAGCACAGCCATACCTGGCAAGGCAGTAGATCTGATTATTCTCTGCTGCAGTTCAGTAACACTAACTACTTTGCCCCTCCTTGAGCTTGTGACTAGACCGTGAAAGGAGAAACAGCAGACTAATGAGCTCTTCTCTCTGTCACTCTGCACTACCCTTCTATCAGCATGCTGTTTGCTTTGGTGCACAACTGATCAGCTGCTTCTCCCTCCACCAGTTTGAGCTCTACTGTACATGGGGCTACAAGAGGCTTATACCAGATTGGATTCACATACTTACACGCCTTCAATTAAAAAAAAATGTAATTCTGTAATGATGAATATAGCACTGCATTTATTTGTGTCTTTTATATCTGCTTGGAGTTAGGCTTTAATGATCCGTAAATGAGGTCAGAATTATGAATATTTTATGTCAATGTGAACCTTGTTATTGTTACTAATAACATAATATTCTGGCAAGTTTGATCCAGCTTACCATTTTCTATGTACTTGTATGTAAAATCAGCCAATATTTGCTGATTACACAAGCATGCTATGCTTCCTGCTTCATAGTGTAGCAAAGTGATTATGCTTTAATCCTACTCCCGCTGCAGTGCACATCTAGGGTCAGAGTTGAGTCAGTAGACTTTAAGTTAAAAGAAAACACTCTCCAAATGTCTTATTGTATTAGTGACTTTGTTGCAGCAGCGGTTTAGCATGGATATTGACTAATCTAATTTAATATACAGACAGCAATTCGGAGAACCCACAAGTATATTCATAAAATGTAATCTTGCAATTGTATGAAATAATGGGAAACAAAATTCCTTTCAGAAGAACAGTACAGTACTCATGTGAATGAGTTCCTGGGGCTCATTCACACATGAAGTTGGGAGGTGGTGAAAACCCTGTGGTTGAGGTACGCTTTTACCACCCAACAATTGCTACCCCCTTTAGCAACAGAGCCAGTGGCTAGGGGTGTGCACATGCCATGTCCGCGATGCTATGCTTCGCAGTCATAACAGAAATTATAGAGGGCAAAGCACACGTATATGGGTCCTTATTTTTTTTTTTTTTTTTTTTTTTTTTTTTTTTAGAATTTTCGTTAAATAATTGTATTCATTTTTTTTACTTTTTTTTTTTTTACTGCCCTGTTGGGAGGGGCTTTGGTGAAATATCAGCGTTCTAAACAGACCCCCTGACATCTCACATTTGAGACTGAAAAAGGGTCTGAAGACACAGATTCATCAGTCCATTTCTCTGCGGCCTCAGCTGAACAGATGAATGAATAGGAAGTGCTTTGAGGCTTCCTGTTAAATCACAAACTGAAGCATAGTTAACACATATTGCTATGCTTCAGTGATGAATGGACACAGGAGCAATTGGTACTGATCGCTGTGTTCATTCAGGAAAGGAAGGGGCAGATAGATATGACGTACAGGTTTTTTTTTTATGTGTGCCGCAGCAGCTGACGGTGGAAGAGGAGAGAAAGGTAGCTGTCAGCGCTGTGGGGGGAAAGGGGAGCAAAGGGGGGTGGACAGTAAGAGGGTGGGGGCGCACATACTAGAACCCCTGCAGGGGAAAGTACAAGAGGATCGGTGTCTGCAATAAGAAAATACAGCCATCCCTCCTGCTCAGCAGGTGCTTGGACCCTCCTTTTGAACTTATGGAGCCCAGGCCCAGTACAGGAGGGCCAGCTGTACTGCCTTATCAGCCATCCTGTCCCTTTCAGTTTCTGCTGTGAAAGGAGCTGTGCTGCAGCCGGAGATTGCGCTGGAGCGTTGACATGGAGCCAGGTAAGTGTTTATGGACAGGGCAGTAGTGAGGCTGTTTTATTTAATGCAGATAATGCAATAAAAAAGAAAATATACCTTTACTGTAGTTCTGCTTTTTTGAATGTAGTTATGCTTGTTTTTCATGCAAAATCTCAGTGGGATTCTTTTAAAATTTCCAGTACAAAGTACAATGTTATAAAGAATATGGAATGTTTAGAAATGTCGGAAGAGTTTATACAACATAGAATTTTATTTGTATTGCATGTAGTTTCGCTAAAAACATTCTCAGCATCCCTGACCACAGTTTTATTTACAGTGATAATTATTCCACAGCAGTCAGGGAAAATATCCTAAGACTAATATCCCTGGCCAAGTCTTGAGGCCATATTTTACAAAAACAGCTTGAGACAAATGTATTAAAAAGACACTATTACACAATCACTTTAGCTTTTTCTGCAATTATATTGTAGTATTATGGTTTATTTCAACTTCTTTATTAAACAAACATGGAAGGCATCCCTGGTGGTAGAACAGTAAGTACTGTGTATCATTTCCATAGCACGCTAAATGTATTTACAGACCCTATACCAATTATTTGGTAACCATCATTTTGTTAGTTAAAAGTGGTGGGAAATTATCAAAAAGAGTCTTTTATAACTGAACGCCAGGTGCTTTGTTTGCTTCAAAAAGACCTGGATTCTTTCTTGGATACACAGAATATAACTGGATACTAACATTTATAGGTAAAGTTGATCCAGGGAATATCCAATTGCCTCTCGGGGGATCAGGAAGGAATTATTTTCCCAGCAGGTACAAATTGGATCATGCTTTGCTGGGTTTTTTTTGCCTTCCTCTGGATCAACTGTGGGTATAGGATTATAACATTTTTTTTTTTTTTTTTCTATGGTTTAACTGGATGGACTTTTGTCTTTTTTCAGCCAGACTAACTATAACTATGAATAGATGAATGCACAGATCAAATTCACATATAGAGTTACTTACCAAATGAGTTATACTTCTGTCCTTCCAGTTCTGAAATTTACACAGCCTTGCCTGTCACTGAGGGAGACAGGATTTTTCTCTGTTGAAATTAAGTGACAATTACAGGTCTTGTCCCTTACTCAGCCTGTGACTGGGCAGTGAAAGGCAAGATGGCAAACTGATGAGCTCATCTCTCTTCACTTTGTTAGATGCTCCCAGTCTGAGCTCTGGCTGTAAGACCCAGTTCACATACTGTATATGT